GCCCAATGTGGCTAAACTCCCTCGGCGTGTTATCTCTCTATTTGGCCAATTTCTACTATTTCCAGCCGCGCCCTCAAGCCTGGTAGAGGCTACTGAAATACAGCAAAATATACTACTTTATACCGACTTGGACTTTCATAAAAATGTTGGACTTCTTGGGAGAAATATTAGTAGTGACTCGAGTTGTGTACGAGCTATTGAGCCAATCACTCGACATAGGTAAGTAAGTACGTATTCCAGCACGGCAGTATTGCCTCAAGCAAAACTGGATATCCTTTTCTCTGATTGTCAGATAAGTACAGGTAGTACACCCGGCACAAAAGTACAGATATCTAACCCTGAACTCTACCCATGCGGAACATCCGGGTTGTCTTGACGGACTTCGCTAGGAACTTTAACCCGTTTAAGCTTGAAGTATGTCTGGTGGACGGTCTAACATGTATGGGTCGCATGCCTCACAGACTGCGCTGCAGTTCCGTTCAATTCCGCAAGTAAAAGTCAACTTTGTTACTCCAGATGATGTACGAATGTGTGACGACACTGGCAATTTATTGAACCCCTTAGTAAAAAAATATGTGACTATGAAGATCATGGCAGAAACAAATACACAATTTTATAGGAGGAAAGCTAACGAAATGTGGGGCTTCTACTATGGAAAAAATGCCTCTCAATTGAAAGCCATTTCCACTTTCATTAACATTTGTTTGCACTTAAATCAGTGCCACAATAGAATAATTCAGTAGCAAAACAGTACTTCTCCTCCCAAAATTGCCCTCCCAGCATTTGCTTGGAGACTACCGATGGCCAGTTCCCACACCCTTAGTAAAACTGTTGTTCAAGTTAGCTCCAAAAATATCCACACTTCACATTTTACGGATGAACGCGACTCAGGAGCAAACAAGACTCAGCTGTGTTAACAAAGTCAAATGTCGTAAAGAAAGTTTTGACTGAGATCCAGCTAGTAGCGTAAATTTAGTTAACCTGGGCTAGGCCGGGTCTCGCACGTTACAAGGTTCTCCTGTTACGGAATCTGATTAGAGAAAAGTTTGTCTGTTTGAAGGTAAAATGTAGTTATGACTGACTGGACAAAAACTCTACGGCACGGGGACTTCAAGATCAACTACCCAATATGGTTATCATGTGGAGATGCCTTCGGAAGTCTAGCGGGGAATCTATCTGGGACTCATTGGCATATAGTTACCAAGTGGGCCAACAACACCATGAAGTTGGGAGCAGCACAGCCAACTTTAGCCCCGAGGAAGGTAGCTGAGCAGTACGTAATTACCGGTTGTGCAACTTGAAAAGCGGAGCCAATGTATATAGCACAATATACATGTATTCCTAGCCTCCGTAGCAGGCTTATAGAACTGGGGGTTTGGTGGTCTTTTTGGTGGGCTGTTTTCTGATTAAAGGGGGTAATTCAACCAGGCCGGCTATGTTGTCTATATGCAATCAGAAAATAGCACATAAAAGCTCCCAAAGACCACGAAGACCCCCTCCCCCAAACCCCCCAGTTTCTGGCATGCTATGAAAGCTATTAAACCAAGCGGTAAGGAGCAGCACAGTCAACTAGCCCAGAGGAAGGTAGCTGAGGAGTTACTGCTACCGCTAAGGCTAGGTTGAACGGCGGAGCCATTGTATATACTAGTGACTATACTAGTAGTCATCCGAGGATCCGATGACTAACGGCTCTGAGTAGACCATTCATGGATGATGTGAGAGATCAGGTAGGGTCAATTCGATCATTTGACATATGATATCTGAATAACCTAGTTCAAGGCCGTGGGGTATTTCAAAGAAGACCGTCTCCTTTGATCTGGTGACATGCTCAGTATGTTGAAAGGTAATTTTTCTCAAGTCAACCTATGGCTAGTACTAGTTCAAGGCAATTAGCAAGGCGGGTGCCGTGGGTTATTTATAGAAAATTAGGTTTTAACTGAGAGAACAAAATTTGTACAGTCAGGCGTTTTATGTTACATTGGCTTGGTTATTGGTGTGTTCCGAACTGTATCAGGGGTGCCAAAGAATTTATCAGAATTTTACGGAAATCATACGATCCTTATAGGAAACATACGAAGTTTACGGAATACATAGGATCCTTACTAGAATTAAACATACGAAGTTTACGGAATGCATACGATCAATTACTAGAAACATACGAATTTTACGGTCCATTACGCGGAATACATACGATCTTTACTAATTTGGTGCTGACTAACTGCTCGAGCATAACTTCTGCTGCACCTCTCATACTTTCCGCCAGGCGGCGCTGCCAGCTGTGAGTCAGGCGTGCCCCCGGGCTGACGTCACTTCCCTTATATCCCATATCGGGGCAAGGGAAGCGGTCTGGTGCTGGGGACTGGGAGATATTTCCACTTCTCAGCCTTTATTTTAGCCTTTTCTACTGCGGGTGGAGGTCTAGCGGGGAATCTAGGACTCATATACACAAGGTAGGTTCGTTTGGTGTCTGGAAATCGCCGTTATAATGGCATGAAGTCGTGGTATTTGAGCCGTAACCTTCTAACCCTTTTGTGTACTATCCCGGAGGCAAATATGGAGCTCCAGTGTCTGTGAATAAATACTCCGCTATTTTTGTTCGGTCAAACGGTCCAGAATGGCTGTGATCAACCCCATTGCTTTCGTAACTTCACGATTCTTCACTTTGCCAATATTAGGAAATGTGTGGTTAGTGGCAATGCCGTGGGAAAATTAAATTTCACGTTGGAATTTTGGTATGTTTTGTTTGTGTAATAGATTGGAGGGGGGGGGGCAGATTTTTTGAGGTACAGTATACTATCCAACACAGGGTCATCACAGGGAAAAGGCATGCAAAAAAAGGTACAAAAAGAAGGATATTTACAGAAAATACCCTCACCAATTACATATCTTCTTGTATAAAATGGCAGATCTTTTTAAAACAAGAACAAAGACTGTAAGAAACCATATTTGCACATAGCACATTTTTGAACTGTCAATTCAGTCAATGTTAGATAAACAAATTAGTAACGGGTATTTGATACGACAAATCAGTAAGAATCTAATGTCCATAATGAGCTTTAAACACAGTATGCAGAGATAGGATTTTTCTTTACCTGTCCACTATATAATTACAATGTCCACCAGTCCATAAACTCCCTTGGGACTTTAAGGCGCCTGGACAATTAAGTGTGTTTGTAGATTGGATACAAAAAAAATCAGGACATTTATAATAAGTACTGGCCATTTCTGTCATAAAATAGTTATGAATCACCCTTCGCTTGCCTCCCAGTTGTGTATTTGCCATAGGTTTTCCCCAAAGAGTAGTTATGAGGTCATACAAATTATATGTGATCACAGAAACCTCAAAAGGGATGCAAAATGATTTGAAAGTCTATTATATCTGGGTTAATATGACCACCCTTTTTGTGATCTGGGTATTTTGATTTTATCAACATGATTGTAAAAGTATATCTACATTTTACGTCTTACCAAAATTGCAATACTAATACATGTATCATGTATTGGGGAAATTGAATTGACCTCTCTGAAGAAAATCCATTTATTTTGTTCAAAACAATCCTTTGTAACAGTTCCATATATATTCACCCATGTAACAATGTGCAATATGGTCACCAACTACACATTTGACATCCCTTTTTCTAACCACAAGCGCTACTTTAAACAGTAGCAGACTGCAGTGTCGGCAGTTTTTTTTGCCCAACAGGAAATAGCAGAGTTGTTAGGTAATACTGGAGCTTGTTAGGCCACACCGATTTAATTTTTTGGATGACATCCTCTGAAGACCCCCAAACTAGTGCGCGCGGGCGAAAAAAATAAAAATCCGGCCAAAAATAAAAATGCTACAAAACCACAGGAATACAAACCTGGTATTGTGAATTTGGCGCATTACATAGCGACGTATACGACAGGCCGACACATGCTGGATTTTTGCGGAATATATGAATCGACACTGCTGTACGTATGTGCTGAGTTCTTGAGTCTTGGAGCTTCGGTAGCCTGGCTGCCGTCAACCAGAGTTATCACCACCATGCACTACCCAGGCCTAAAGCCAGGCCAGAGCCTCGGAATACGTGATCTTTTTTTTTTTTTTTTGAGATCGGGCGAAAATCAATGCGCGCGCGGATGTCATCCATAAAATTAAATCGGTGTGGCCTTACTCAGAGTGAATGTTGAACTGGCACGGAGACTTCCTGTCTGCAATGTCAAGTGTAATATTAAACTATCCCTCCTCTTTCCCGTCCCGGCTGTTTTGTCCACGGAGCTTCCTTTCTGTGAGGAATTGCTTCTGTTACTTTTAGAGGCAGTTTTCTTACAAGAAAGGGCACATATATTTGTGATTACCGGTACTCTCTTTTCACAACTGTATTTCTACTTAGCAAAAGCAAAGGAAGATGTATCAGTGATTGTTATGATTTATCAAGTACAAAATGTATAAAACTTCAACAATGTTTTTCTACAACATGCTCCATACTTTTGAACCTTTTGTATTTCTACATACATTGTGATATAGTATTTATTTGCAGCAAAGTGAACAGCAAAATGATGTGTTATATAACTTATAAGATTACTAGAAACAATCATTGCTGAAATCATTGTTCCCCCATCAATGAAAAGGTAGATACAGTAACTTGTGATGGCTTCGCTGCTACAGGTTTTTAGGTTTAAACAGTCAACTAATGTTTCAGTTCAAAATTCAACATGACCCAACATACACATGATACAGTTTCAAATTCAAGACTTATATTACTGGCCACTTTTACAAACCAGCAAAGTAAGCACAGTTTGAATGGTAAAACATGTTTTGGGACATAAATTTCAAGACCTCAAAGTCAAACCCAGACAAACTAGCCCGAGGGAGAGGCATTAATTACAGGTGTGTCAGGATGTTAGGTCTTACACGGGAAGTCACTCTGTCTGTCTACATGGAATAAAGGCTGTGGAATAAAGGACAGAACAACACAGGAAAGGGAAATACAAAGTAAACCTACAGACAGTGTGTAAAGCCCAGACAGTGAGTAAAATTAAACTACAGAAAATTTATGGCAGACAGGTGTGTGACCTAGATGTGTGCTCAGATTTTATGTTTCAAAGATTCCTCTTGTATACACATGTATTTTCTGCTAGACAAAATGTTTGGTATGTTTTCTTGCTATTTTTCACCAGTAGAATTCCTTTGGTAAACTGTAAGGGATTGTACTACACATGTAGCTATGACAGAACATGAGCTGAGTTTTGTATATACATGATTGTAGTTCTAAAGAAATAGCAAGGTACAAATAATGTAACATTTTCAAATGGGGCCCAGGCATGTTTACATTGTATAATGATGATGGGATAGCCACTTTTTTATTGAATACTAATTGTGATGGTACTAAGAATTGTTTTGTATGTAGCGTGCGTGTGTGTGTGTGTGTGTGTGTGTGTGTGTGTGTGTGTGAACATATCTATTTGTATCAGGACTACATGTAGGTGTGTAAGTACTATGTTAGACATTTGTGTGATTACACACACAGTTATACCCTAGGTACCCTGTGTAAACATGTAGAGAAGCTGGCAGTTGTACCAGTGGTACAGTCATGCGTAGGAAATCCTGCTTAGGGCAGGAATGTGCAGGGTGTGTTCTGCTCTCATGGTCAGGAAAAATAACTACCAGATCTGTGTATAGACAGACAGATAGTTGAGCTTTAGTGCTACAATGTATCTGTACAGAGGATACCGCAGAAGAAAGTATACCCTACAAACATCATGTTTGTGTATTACGGTACCAATTTGTGGAATACATGTACATCTCTCTTCCATAAAATTGAACTGATTAGTAATAGGCTAATGCTTCTGTCATTATTAAGTTAAGTAATGTATTACAAAGCCCAGAATTGTGTTACACAACCTCTCGTTGTTGGGTGATTCCTTCTGTAACAGTGGAAGGGCTGCTAGAAGCATGATTTAGTCAGTATGTGCAAACATTTTTTGGTCTCAGATGCTCAGACGAGGAAAATATTACACCTGTGCCTGAGTTGTTGTTGTTTTTTTCCCTCCCAGGTGTAAAGATGGGGTGTTTACATGTACTACTGGTGCTGGGTGTGGTGGCAGCAGGGATGGCTCAGGAAGGTAAGAAGTTTAACCTGTCTTACACAACGCACATCAGGGTTCTCACAAGGATTTTTTCACAGCGTAGGGGTCAGGCACAGAAGAAGAAACTTTCTGCAGTGCAAGTCGTGCATTGAGTCCCCAAAACATGACCACAGCAGGGTGTTTGGTAGCCTGGGTACCATCCGGATTTTCGCTACGCAACGCTCGAAGCGCGTTGCGTAGCGAAAATCCGGATGGTACCCAGGCTAGGTGTTTGGTACTCTTCCCAAAAATTTTGTAACTCATAACCCCCTGAGACACTTTTTCTTGCTTATTGGGGGACAGATTCCCTATGTTCTAGCTTCATTCTTAAGATATATTCTCATTTTTTGAAAGATTTATGAAGGCTCTGCCCCAAAAGAACACCCCTACGCTGGTTGAAAGACAGTGACAGTGTAGGGGTCCAAATCACAGCATAGCGGGCCCCTACGCTCAAATAGCCTAGTGAGAGCTATGCACATGTAGTTGCTGTCACTATGTGATGTCAGGCTGACCAGGCCTTTTTGTCAGAGATGTTGTGGCCATACAGCTCTATCTCTCAGGAGAATCATTTCCATTCCCACAACTACCAATAGGAGCTCATCAGGAGTCTTTATCACTATGAAAATGTACGTAAATGACCAGGGTTGATGGGGTGCAAAATTGGATATTGGGTGGGGAAGAAAATTATGGCTGGCCCCTGGTGTTACTCTCCAAGCAGAGGTTGGTGGGGAAGATCGTTACCTTTCTATATATGCCCTATATATGTTTTTTTTCTGTCCCGACCCCCACCAACTTGGTGGGTACACAGTGTAACTTTTGTCTCACGCAACATTTTCGCTTACTTTACTGCAGTGAACCGCTGTATAGCCAAGAAGCCACGACACTGTGGGGAGTGTATCATCATCGGGCCTGAGTGTGGCTGGTGTAAACTGGAGGTAAGGTCGATATCCCTATCCACATCCAGGAATATTGAGTGTTCCACATCCCCTAGTGGCATTCTTTTAAACTGCAGTATGTATGTAGATCATCATAACTGAAATTACAATGTATAGGAGGTACATGTAAGTGTGTAGGGACTATAGAACCAAGTATAAGGCTTGAAATGCCACCTGCATATGCAGGTTGGTACAGGTAAAATTGGAGCTGTGCAGGTATTTCTGATGTCTACCTGCACCTAACCTGCACTGCTCCATGTACTGGGCATATGCAAGTTGGTACAGGTAAAATTAGAGCTGTGTAGGTGTTTCTGACATCTACCTGCACTGGTCCAGGTACTGGGTATTTATTTGTTCTCAAATTTGCCCTACACAGATGTAGGTTCTATTCTAAATTGACTTTCTTTGATTTTCTTGTGTTTTTTTTCTGTCCAGAGTTACGACAACACCCGTAGATGTGACCAGTACCAGAGTCTGCTGGACGGAGGCTGTCCCAAGGAGCTGATTGAATATCCTCGCAGCAAGCTCACTATCATCAAGGTACTGGATATGTTTCCACATTGTAGCACAATCGCACACACTTGTTATGTTTGCAGAAGGAAAAATGGTTTTTGTTCTGTTTCTTCTTCTTCTTCTTCCCCAAAGAAAAACCTGCACAAGATGGCTGTCACCATGGTAACTGGTGCTGTAGCATACACCATGTGGGGTTGGATTACATTATGTAGCAAGTTGCAGGACTGAGTTGGAGAGGCTGGTCACCATATATATGAAGTTACAAATCTTAAAATATATTCTGTATTTTACAGTTTTCATAAGTCACTTCTCTACAAAGTAGATTAAAAGGAGGGTAAAAAAGATGAGGTCAAATACATGTTGTCAACCTGATACCTTTACAATAGCACTCTTTAATGTGCTTTTGTTTTGCTAGTACGTAGTCACAATTTGTCTTCAGTTTTTTTCAGTGTGTAGTTTCCTTTCAAACCTATACATGTTGTTGTAAAGTCATGACGTGGTATGTAAAGCGGGTCCATGTCTGTATGCTGACCTTTACACAATGTCAAAACATTGTTCTGTATTCCACTGTATTTCTGTGTTTTGTGTTCAGACTCCGGTAAGTTGATCTGAAAGAATTTCTTTTTCCTATTTGCAGTAACCCTTCAATAGTCTGTATATACACGTAGAGCTATATCTGAAAGCTGATGTCTGAAATATACTAGTAATCATTAATTATATGCATTTAGGTTTTCATGTCTAACCCCCTTCTCTCCATTTTCTTTTAGAAAACTCTTCTTTCTTCTGCCTACTAGTAGTACTACCTTCCTTAACTACATTTGACTGTATTCTGTATCACCAGGATATTTATTTATTTTATTCATTTTATCAGCATATGTTTATACATGTGTTGTTAACTTTTTATTTGTGTCTGCTTTCTGTATGAAAATTTTTACATGAACTATGCTGTACATGTAGGTCCTACATGTACAGGTTTTGGACACAGACTGTTACCATTTGAGAGTAGAGCGAGACATAGTAAGACTTTTAAATGCAGCTACAGAAGATTAAGATTTACTGTTATATTTTGTTAGGATGAGTTCCTGAGTACAGCGTACCAGCTGAAACCACAGGAAGTCACTATCAAGATCAGAGCAGGTGGGAGCTGTTTTATAATTAATATTATATATCAGGGATTTTTCTAAACAGGGGAATAAGGGAGCTATTCCCTCATGTAACCAGCCAGCTCCCTCATACCAGTTTTCAAATTGAACCCTAAGTGGCTACTTACACACCATTTAGTCTTTCTCAAAATGATCTTTTTCCAGTAAAGATGTAAAAACAATATAGCAATGCATTCTAGCATTACAAACTGTGTTATTCTTATTAAAAGATCCCCCTCGGACGCTTCGTTCCTTGCCATGCTTGCGATCTGCTCCCTCATGCTAAATTTTTGTAGAAAAAAAAGCTGTTAAATACCAATACTAAATGACTAACGAGAAATCTGAGATCCTAGATGGAAAGTACATAATGCGTAACGACTGCTGACACTTTCAGGCATCCCATTGCAGTTCTGTCTTGTTTCATAATTATATTATGACTTTTACGTACACAGATTATATATTATTACCTTTCAAGCAATTTGTTAACCTTATTGTGAGTCACTAAAGATAACCTTTTCTTGGGTCTTATTATGGGGCTGTGTGGCGCAATGGCAGAGTGCTCGACAAGGAACCAAGAGGTCCCGGGTTCGAGTCCTGACATGCCACTGGTATTGTGTCCTTGGGAAAGGCACTTTACACGACTTTCCTCACTGAACTCAAGTGAAAATGAGTATTGTCCTGTCTTGTATGCATTTCTATGTGTGGGAGCAACAGCAGCGTGTTTCCCAGGTGTATTGTACTGTTACAACTTTTAATGAATCAAATCATTGAATCAAACCTTTTCTTTGACCTCAGGTGAACCGTACACATTCCGCGCTGCGTTCCGTCAGGCAGAGGACTATCCTGTGGACTTGTACTATCTTATGGATATGTCCAAGTCCATGGAGGATGACTTGCAGAGCCTGATTGGTTTGGGAGATACACTAGGTAAGATCACATCCTCCGAGGCTTTGGCCTGGCTCTAGGCCTTGGTAGTCCATGGTAGTTAGCGACAATATGGAGCTGGGCACCCAGGCTACTGAAGCTCCACGACTCAAGAATTCAGTACACATGTACAGTGCCGATTTATAAATTCCGCAAAAAGCCAGCAAGTGCTGGCTTGTCGTATACGTTGCTAAGCACTGTCGCAAATTTACAATACCAGCTTTGTATTCCTATGGTTTTATAGCATTTTTATTTTTGGCCGGAATTTTGTTTGGGGGTCTTCAGAGGATGTCATCCATAAAATTAAGTCGGCGTGGCCGAAGTAAAGTAGGGAAAACAGTCATCCTCAACTGAGGGAAAGTATGATGCTTTTTCAGGTAGCTACTAGTGCAATGTGGCTTCGCTACAAATCGTGTTTTTAGCCAAGCACACCGGGTCACCCATACTCTTCTTGATAAGTGTGGTGGGTTCTTTTATGGGTAGAAGTTAGGCATGTACAGTTATAATTGCAATGCATGCTGAAAAAAAGCAACAACCTGGAAACTTGAACGGTGACATCTAAGTTTCAATGAAAGTAGTAAAATTTGTCATGATGTGTGGTTTGTTGTCACTTGATCAGACCAACTACATGTACACGTGTCAGTGTCAGAATAGTCAAACTTTGAATTCTCATTCTTACATTTTTCTGTTACCCCTCGTACCTTCACAGCTGAAGAGATGCAAAGGATCACCAAGAACTTCCGGATTGGTTTTGGCTCATTTGTGGACAAGACTGTGATGCCGTACGTCAGCACTGTGCCAAAAAAGTGAGTTCTGCGCCCTTTAAGTTCTGAGTTTGTGTTCATGTGTAAAGAAATTCAGTTGACATAACAGCAAATTTTGTTATATATTGTTGATATGTGATAATCCCTGTACTGTGAATATACATGTATAGTACAGTACATCAGAATGTTTTTACTTGATATTAAAACTTCTGGATCCACCAAAGACTTGTAGCCTCATCCTATTCTTAAGTCATTTGTTATGTGGACTGGATTTAATCCATATAATTGCTGTAATTAAACGTTAACATAGGGTAGTCTAGCACATCGGCAGAATGTACTGCGCCTGCGCGAAACCCCCCATTATTCGTGGTTTTCGTTGGATTTTTGGTCAACGTTGCATCAAAATTTTGCCTGTTGCAGAAGATATCTTTTCCTGCATAACATTTGGAAACTACAGACCGGATGTTAACCTTTTATGTGTGAATACGACCTTATATGAGACGTTCTGCCAAAGTGCTATGCACAATACATTACAGGTTTCGCGCAGGTGCAGTACGTTCTGCCGACATGCTGAGTGGTCTCACATACAAGTTTTGGACAATGTGGCATTGTTAATTTGTTTATTTGAATTTTCAGACTGGTGAATCCGTGCCTTGGTTGTGTCGCGCCGTTCGGCTACAAGAACGTGTTGCCCCTGACAACGAGAACCAGGAGGTTCACACAGGAGTTGAACCAACAGGAAATCTCCGGGAATCTGGACGCGCCGGAGGGCGGTTTTGACGCCATGATGCAGGCAGCTGTCTGTACGGTACGTTTGCTGACAAACTTTATTTACTTCATCAGTCACCACAAAACAAGGCTCACGGGAGCCACTTAAAATGTTTTGGGTTACAGTACAGCCAGTGAGGACAGATGTTTGTTGACCTTAGATTTGAAGAGTTTAAGGTTATACTCAAAGGGGAAGCAATCACAAGGTAGCTTATTCCAAAGTGATGTTGTTCTTGGTAAGAAGCTTTCAGCATGGAACTTCCTCCTAAGAGGTGGTGAATGGAGGAAGAAAGGGTGATTTGCTTCCACTGTTACAATGTTTCATGTTTTGTTTTTCCTCCATGCAGGGAGAAATCGGCTGGAGGAACGGCTCCACGCATCTCCTGGTGTTCTCCACGGATTCTTCCTTCCACTACGCTGGCGACGGGAAACTGGGCGGGATTGTCACGCCGAACGACGGCAGGTGCCATCTCGACGATGACATGATGTACACCTTAAGTAACAACCTGGTGAGTAGCGCCTCAGAGTCAGAAAAAAATGTTGTGTTTTCTGTTTCCCGTTCGACCCTAGAAAACCTGCCAACCCTAGACTTTTTCTGGGGGTGGACTCCTGCAAGGGAGCTGATCAACCTTTTCCAGCTCCTTGATCTGACACCTGAGTGATAAGACGTTGTACAATTGTTTTTCCAACATTGACATTGAAAATAAAAGTGTCCTCCTGCACGTTTTACTGTATTGTATAAGTTGGACCCCTATATAGATATCACAGAAGTTTGAAAAAAAAGAAGAAGAAAAAAACGATAGTCCCTACCTACCAACCCTAATTTTTTCAGGGCTGAAACAGGAAACACAACATTTTTTTTCCTAGGCCTAAGATTGTTGTTCCATGCCTGAGCATCAACTTTCCTGGACAAACTTAACACATTCAAGCATATACATGTACCAATTTTTAGACTAGTACTAAAGACTAGTAAATCTCATCGTAGTCAAAGATGACAATTAGGTGGATCCCATTAAAATATGTCAATGGAAGAATATTGAGTAGACAGCATAATTAAAGCTTTATTGTGTGTTAATGAAATCCTGGGTAATGGTAGTGTAGCTCTTAGTTGATTGATTTCCACATCAAATGAGATTTTGTGTGATCTGCTCTTGATAATTACTGTTTGACCCTTTTACATGTAGTTGTCACATGCTTGAGATTGCTAATGTTTGTGCTGTACAGTATAACAGTGTACAAAATACTTTTTTGAACCAGGCTGCCCAGTGGGCAACCTACGGCAAAAATTAGGTTGCCCATCAGAATTTTAGGTTGCCCCACTATAAGTTACTGCTTTCGTCAAATTAAGTAAATATACATAAGCCTTTGACAATATTTCTAACAGCCTTTAGTTAACTGATACTAGTAATAGTCATTAATACCTAAAATTAAAAAGCATCTGCCCGATACAGTGGTGCAAGATTTAGGGGGGGGGGCATTCTTAATATTCAGGTAGCACACTGGGCTACCTAGGTTCAAAAAACAGGTTGCCCCATGTAAAATTTGGTTGCCCGGGGCAACCAGGTATTTTGCACACTGGTATAATGACTACTGGTACTTTCTGCCCACAGGACTACCCTTCAGTCGGACATCTGCAGAGGAAACTGAAGGAACACAGGATTCGCCCAATCTTCGCTGTCACCGCTGACCAGGCCTCTGTTTATGGGGTAATTCTCCTTTTTTCGTTTAATTTGAACACCTAAAATCATCAAATATTTGCAAAATGTCAACTGAAGACACCATCAATGCCTCATTTTCCATTGTACAGTGACTGTTACAGTAATATCAATCAATTTACAGTTAAAATGGTATGTGAGAATACGGAATGTAATTTCAGCAAGAAGCAAAAGACAATTTGTAGTTGCGTGGAGAAAGCATAGTACAAACATAATGTCATTATCATGCTTGTTCTATTATTTTATATCCACAGTATTTTATATGTTTGACCAAAATAATTTTTTCAAGGCGTGGCACTGGTTTCTGGGACACAGGCCAGGTTACTTATAATCATAGGTAGAATTGAATTTCCTAAAATCTAAATTAGTCTTGAAACATGTATTATAATTTCAGTTGGATTGGAAAATCCCATCCTGTGTTGCAATGTGGATACTGATAATCAAAATAGCAATGACCCTTTTGTATCTATTACAGAACCTGAGTGACCTAATTGAAGGGTCTGTGGTGGGGACACTGGCCGGTGACTCATCCAACGTGGTGGACCTCATCAAGAAGGCTTATGAGGTAAGGATACCAAAAACCCCTATTAGAGCCTTGTGATAATCTGATAATCACTCTTTGTCTCAGTTGAAATAGAAATTATTAAACATACAAGTTTAGTATGTACATTTGTTGAATAAATGCTGTGTGAGAAATTCAAGACAATGATCAATGCTAAACTGAATCCTCCACAATTTCCATGCTGTATGGCCTAACAGAAGCACTGATTTCTCCAAGAAGTCTTCAAACTTGGAATTAGTGGTTGACATGGGGGAAATATAGACACTGAGGATCGCCTACTACCTGAAAGTTTGATATATATTAATGGTTTATTTCAATAACATTGTCACAAACATTGCAGCCAAAACGGCTGAATTGCATCAGGACAATTACAATTCGGATAGGAGTGATAAAACATATTTACATATGATATACGGATTAAAAAAGTTATGTACAGAATTTATCAGATTGTCTGTTAATGTGACAAGTTAAAACAATTTTCAACCATTTTGAAATGTCTGCCTTTTGTTGTACAGGAGCTGAGGTCTACTGTTGAACTGAAGACGGAGGACGTGCCAAACAACGTCACCCTGACGTTCAAGTCTGTCTGTCTGAACAACGAGACGTTTGACGGGGCAAAATGCAGCAACCTGCAAGTGAACGACACTGTAAGTTTTCCTCCTGGACTTTATGTCATGTTCTCACCAATGTTTACTGGTCTTTGAAATGTTTGATTGGATCTGTTGGTTTTAGTACTTGATGAGAAGACCTTATAATTTTCAAAAACTCTGGATTTGGAGTCTGAAATGTTCATGGATTCTGCATACATTGTGTGTGCATGTGTGTGTGTGTGTGGTGCACTTTCTTAAATCTTGGTGAAGACTTTGACAAAAATGCAGTTAGATTCCTGAGCAAACTCCTGACCTAACAAGTGAAATTTGCCTTGTTTTATTCTCGTTGAATGTGTAGCCTCAAGTCCCTTAATTTTGCAGCCATGTCTGGCACAAAAAAAAACAGAGTGCAAGTAATAACAAGCTACGGAATTCTAAGGCCCGGTTTACACGTGTGTGGTTTACATGTGTTGGGTGTAAAACGACGCGTGCGTCTGTGGCGGTGGTTGTTTACACGCTAAAAAAATCTGTCGCATGAAACGCGCAGTGCGGCGCCGCACGCGTCATTTTACGCCCGACACATATAAACGACGCACGTGTAAACCGGGCCTAAGACCAACTTTTCAAGCCTGGATGTTGATGCATTTTTGTTTGTTTCCCCAGGTGTATTTTGACATCACCGTGGTGACAGAGGGCTGTCCGTCTAGAAGGCCGAAGACCTTCACCGTGTACCCTGTCGGCTTCCAGGAGGAGTTACTGGTCAAACTGGACTTCATCTGTGACTGTGACTGTCAGGCTGATGGGGTGAGGAGGATCGCTGACGCTTCTTCTTTCCTTGTTTTTGTTCTGTTCTGATTAGTTATGTATAATTTAGTTAATTGATATTACTAACTTATGGCTATAAAAAGACACCATGGTTTCTGCCCCTCTGCATGCATTTGTACTCTTTTGATGTGTTTTTGATTTTATTGCAGATGTAAATCAATTAAATCAAACAAGAAATCAATTAGAATCTAGATACAATGCTTCTAAATACAATGCAATCTTCTCCTGATGACAGAAATACAAATGTATCTTTTGAACTTTTTGCTCAGATTGCAGCCAGCCCAAGGTGCTCAGATGGAAATGGAATATTCGAATGTGGGACCTGCAACTGTAACTCTGAAAGGTAAGTTATCATACTGTAACTGAGTAAAACATGAGACCTAGACAAGTTACAACCTGGGGCCACCTGGCCATTTGTTTTGATCCCTTGGATAATTTTTCCCATTTGTATAAACATTAGGAATCCTGTCCACATAGACCAAATTTTAGCATTTTTTTATTTTCTATTTTCAGCATTTACAGGTTCAACATATTGGAGAAATGTCTGTCCTCTTTCAGAGAAGAACAACATATATTGATCCATGGCTAATAACATTCTGTACTTTTAAAGTATAGTGTCATTCAGTCAGTCACATTAGCAACAGTACATGTAGATTTCAACTCCCAATCTTCTAAACCAAATGAAGGTTCTCTATAACAAATAGAGCCTAATTTTCCAAGCTGACATCAGAAGCCACAGAGAACATTTTGCTGTCCGTCTCTCAGGTACGGCCCTCTGTGTGAGTGCACAATAGACGACAACGAAGCCTCCGACTTTGACGCCACCTGCCGTCGCGCCAACTCCTCAGTGATCTGCTCCGGGCGAGGGGAGTGCATCTGTGGGGAGTGTGTGTGTTTCCCCAGGGACAACCCCAGGGAGAAGGTCTACGGGCCGTTCTGCGAGTGTGACAACTTCTCCTGCGACAGATACGAGGGACTCATCTGTGGAGGTGAGCCAAATGACCAAACTGTTGTCATTATTGGAATGTCATTTTGTATATTTGTGTAACACATAAAACATAAAAGCATATTTACTAGAAACTTTGTAACATTTGGAAATGATAATGGGATGGTGTAGCTCAACAAACTGCCGAGCTTTTTTTATTCTGTTCTGTTTCATTCATATGGTGACCAGCCTCTCCAACTTTGTCCTGCAACTTGCTACATAATGTGATCTAACACCACAAGGTGTCTGCTACATCAAAAGTTACCATGTTGACAGCCGGCTGGTCCATGTCCTTGACCTTTGTTGTTTAGATAAGTACAATAATAAGAAGAAACAGCATAAGCTCTGTCCCTTTCTCCAGGTGCAGGCCGTGGTGTGTGTGACTGCGGTGTGTGTGAGTGTACAGCAGACTGGGAGGGCACTGCCTGCCAGTGTCCTGCAGGCAACAGCTCCTGTGTTGCCTCCAACGGCGTGAGTACTCCATGTCCAACTTTTCCATGTTTATTACAATTGTACACCATTTGTGTGATGGTACAAATACTGCTATCTCGAAGTTGGTGATTCACTACAAATCACCCGGATGGAGGCCTGGCAAACCCCGTCGCATATTAGCCACCCCTAAATATGTTAGCCATAGTGAAGCCGTATTGCACTAGTACATAGCTACTTTAAAAGCATCATTGTTGAGGATGACAAAAGACAAAGGGCCTGCCAGGGATTTGAACCCAGAACCTTTGGATTCTGAGGAAAGAATCTAACCACAAGACTGTGTTGCTTGTTCCTGTCCCCCAGATCCTGTGTAACGGCCAGGGTCTATGTGAGTGTGGAGTCTGTAACTGCTTTGCTGACAGCCTGTACAGAGGACCAACCTGTGAGGAATGCCCGGTAAGAGCTTTTCTTGGAGAAGGTTATACGTAATTCTAAAGGTTTTATGTTTAACACGAAAATGTTGACAAAACAAGATTGATGGGTTTACCATTTAGAGAGAATTTTTTCATGAAAGAGAGTCATGCTGATATGCTAGATGACTAACTTAATTTTTACAGCACAGTAACTCCATATGAGACCAGGATGTGGTATCAATGGTATCGACGAGAGGTTTTGTCAATATTAAGGAGAGCACAGCATTTACATTTTGGTATAGATTGTACCGAGTCTCATATTTTCACTGGCCCAGCCCATACTAACCCCTGCCTTGGATATACAAATGTAAGGGTTTTCTTCTACACAACCAATTATTCCTACCTTGCTGACGTTTCGGTGTCTGTCAGACAACTTCCTCAGAGCTTCTGACTGGAGTTCTGCTTCTCGCTGCTACATGTATATGTTGCCGATGTAGGTGGCACTTTTGCAGCTAGAATTCTGACAGACACCAAAACGTCAGCAAGGTACAAATACAGTGCAAGGTACAGCAAGGTACAAGGTACGAATGAGTTGTGTAGAAGAAAACCCATGTATCCTACATTGTATACTTTACCAACTGATGAAACTATTTGCGGTAACCCCTGCCTTGTTGCCCTGTCCAGACCTGTCCCGGTCAGTGTGAGGTGTTCAGGCCGTGTGTCCAGTGTGAGGCCTTCGGTACAGGAGAGTATGATGAGGAAGAGTGTAAACTCTGCAATCCCAAAGCCATCATCGTGGACGAACTCAAACAAGGTACAGAACTAGCTTGACAGTTCATCTGTGTTGTTGGGAGTCATTCTGCAACAGATTTGAGGGGGAGGGATGGGGTTTGAGGGAGATGTTGAAAAGAATTATTAAATTCAAACCTGTTGCATAAGGTATGGAATTGTTCTAGCTGGTAAAGAACGGCAGAGTGCTCGACTCGGAACTGAGAGGTCCTGGGTTCAAGTCCTGACATGCCACCGATCTTGTGCCCTTGGGGAAGGCATTTAACAAGACTTTTCTCACTTCATTCAGGTGAAAATGAGTATTGTATTTTCCCATGTGTTGGTTGCGGCACTAAGATTGTATGTTTGAAGTTAAAACTTTAGATCCAACACAAAAAATTCTCTCACCTAGAGCTTTAAACCAGTCACTCTGGTCTTCCTCAGCAGACTAACCCAGTGAAGCTTGTCACGTGGCTTCTTTGAAGTGTGACGTCAACACTGGGTCAAAGGTATCTGGTAGACGATGTCGAGCCCCGTCGCAGTTCAATGTAGGGTGATGGGCCCTGATGTATATGGCTTCCTTCACCCCTCTCAAGAAATAGAGGATTACATGTAGTTGAAAAAACTTGAGTGTGCCGTCACAACGTCTTGTGGTTACATGTTGGAATGTTGTGTTTTCTCCAGGAGACGAGGTGACGCGGTGTGTGTTTAAGGACGAGGATGACTGCTCCTTCATCTTCACCTACGGCAACGGACTGGACGGCAACACGGAGATAGAGGTGCAGAGGACAAAGGGTGAGTCACAGACCAAGGTTGGCTGAAGTTCCTCAGCAGTCGGACCAGATTTACGCCATGCCTAGCCTTCTATTTGGTGAATCGATTGGAGATAACTTTGACTTCCAAACACTGCTTACATACCAGTACTTCCAACCAACCAACAGTCAACCATGGCCGAACCTACCATCGAAAGTGTTTTAAACATCTTGAAATATTTGGCTGGTGCAGCTGAATAGTAGCCAACCAAGGCAAACCTTGCTTCCGACCTACTCCTAACCATGGTTGGAATAGTTTGGCAGTGTTCTATAGACTATAGCCACCTACTGTACATATGTGTGTGACAGGGGCTAACGTCTATAGCTTTGCCTGAATTTTCTTTGTTTTGTATGTAACGCTGATGTTGATGCCACATGATGATTGTACAAATCAGTGCAATTGAGCTTGTTGTACATGTACCTCATGCAGCGAGGCTAATTTTCTTAATAAAACTGTAACTGTAAACTAACGTCTCCCCCAGTCTGTCCTGAGGAGATGAACACTATCCAATCACACTTGCTCTCGACCAAAACCATGTTTGGACGAGTTTGGCAGTGTTCTATAGGCTATAGCCGCCTACTGTATGTGTGTGATGGGCTAACGTCTGTTGTCTGTCTGTTCAGTCTGTCCTGAGGAGGTGAACATCCTGGCCATCATCCTGGGTGTGATTGGGGGGATCCTGGGCATCGGCCTGGCCCTGCTGCTCATCTGGAAACTCCTCATGACCATCCACGATCGCCGAGAGTTCGCCAAGTTCGAGAAGGAGAGGATGAACGCCAAGTGGGACACGGTCGGTACTCCCTTTTTCAATCAATCAACTGATCAATCACTTGATTGATTGATTGATTGATTGATTGATTCATTCATTCATTCATTCATTCATTCATTTAGCTGGCAGTACATCTACATCTATCTACATCTACATGATACGGGACAAAGTGCCTCACGGCACATCGCGTCCCGGGAAGGAGGTGCAGCTGGTGTGGCAGGTGGTGGTGCGCAACAAAAATATACAAACAGATGAAAAATGATATATAAATAATAAATTGCAAAATGAAAGAAACCAAACTGTGCAACTATATACAAAAGCCACACCAGAAAACAAAAATGACTCTACAGCTGGGTATTGGCTGGAAGGCCAAGGTGACTGGCCAAACCCGCCTTAAACATCTCAAGGGATGTGCAAGATATGAGTGTACCTGGTAGTGTATTCCACTCGATAACGGTTCGAGGGAAATAACTGGCTCTGTATGCCTCTGTCTTGCATGGGATGGTGATGAAGCGTGAGTGATGTCCTCTTGTAATGTTTGTGTTTTTGGTGAGAATGGGAAGGGAATGAATGTCAAGTTGGATACAGTCAATTATATTGCTTATTTTGTTAATTAATCATCTAATAAGTCACTAAAAATCAGTTATCTTGTCCTGGAGATAGTCCTGGTACTGTTGCATTACACTGTTACTATGTTCAACTGTATTTGTTGGATTGCTTGAGCCGAAATCTAAAGAGAATCCCTACCTACCGACCTTATTTTTTCAGGACAGAAACTGGAAACAGAACATTTATTTTCCAAGGTCTGATGTTTTTTGAACATGACAACTAAGATGTTTTTTATTGATGTGTTGCAGGGAGAGAACCCTATCTACAAACAGGCAACGTCGACATTCAAGAACCCAACATACGGAGGGAAGTAAGAACATCGATTGCCGAAGATCTGCCACAGAAAACTGTACACCTAACCGTCTTCCTGTTGTAATACACACACAGGTGCCTGGATGTGAAAATGAAGATTTTCTTATGAAAAACTTTAACTGTTCTCACACTCAAAATTTGACTCACCAGGAATTTTCGACTGAATCACTCAGTCTTCCTCAGCTATCTGACCCAAATGCTGTTGACACATGATTTTTCCCACGTGTGACGTCAGCAAAGGGTCAAATTTTGAGTTGGAGAACAGTTTAAGTTTTTCATAATGTAATTTACCAACTCAGAAGAACTTTCATGCTGATGTAAGAAGATTTTCTTTCACCTTCTCACAAGTTTGGTCCAACTATGGTCCAACAATGTACAGGTTGCATACTACTCATATATCATGTTTGTCATGGAGAGAAAAAACACGATTCTTGCCAATGATGATACAAACATGTAGTTAATTTTTCACTGAGGTACAAAAAAATGTAAATTTGTGGTTTTATATGCCCAAATTGTGACATTTCTTTTTATATGGCCAAAAACATGATGGTGCTGGCATTGTTGTCTTCACTATTGGTATCTGTCTGACAACTTCTCATAGAAATTTTTGTGCCAAGTATTCATTAAAACGTCAATGCAGAATTTGCTCAAAGCCACCTTTATTTTTGAGAAATATCATGATTGTAGTTTGATTTTTTAATTTTAATTACAACATATTATTTTTAGTGCCAAAGTTGCTGCCAGTGCTATATTGTAACAAAAACTCTTTGAGGACTTTGAAAACTTCCGATGACACCAAACTGATGTAGAAAAAACATTGTTGAATTCTGTGCAATTTTCCTGAAGATAAAAACATGTTGCTAGTTTGGGAATTATTCTTGAAAACCTCAAATCTTCCAGCCTTACCATTGTGTGATTATACAAAATCCCCACCAAGAGAAAAAGGAGACATTTTGAAGTCCTCGTGATGTATAGTTTTAGGTTGTGTTTTAAACGTGAAGCTGGTGCATTAGAGCGTAGCATAGGTTTTGTACATGGTTTTACAAGTTTCACTATGCAATAATGTGCAAGAGTTTTGCAATGTCTGTGGTTTTTGTATGAATTTTTGTACATAGTGCTGTTAGAACTTTATGTAGACCCTAAGACACTATGCCTCAACTGATGAGGTGCAAAAGGAAGAAAACTTGAGCTATAGTTCATGTGAAAGTGATCTATTTATGGATCAATCATTCAAAAGTTATAGTAACAAATGATTATGTTTTAAACCATGTCATATCAAGTACCAGTGCAGCAAAAAAACTATAGTAGCTTGAAAACTTTTGTATGTACAAATGTAGCTTGTCTTATTTTAGCCATATATTGTTCATAACATTCAGTCTCGCTATGTTTATGAGCCAAACTTTACATACTTTAATGCATGGTACCCAAATCACTTAATGTATTTATTTAAGTGTGTGCCCTAGAGTGAAGCAAGAACTTTAGAACTGCCTTATAAAAATCACCAGCAAGCTTCCTTGTAACAAACATTTTACAACACTGATATTCATATCAGTTCTGTATATCTAATACTAGTATATATACTAGAAGGCAAGTTAAAGAAGAATTTGATGTGTTAGTTTGAAGTGAAATGGACCAGTTTCTCTGACTTTTGTCCATCTGTACTAGACAAATTCTGACACAGAAACGTGGGGAAGTATATCATTTTTTACAACATTGGATATGTTCAAACATAAAACTAAATGTACTATGTTCTATGTTTAAAGTTAAAACTTTCCATCCAACAAAAAAAGTTCTCTCACCTAGAGCTTTCGATCAGACACTCTGGTCTTTCTCAGCAGACTGACCCAGTGAGAACTTTTTGTGTTGGATCGAAAGTTTTAGCTTTAAACATGTAACTACCAACACTTGATGATAGTACTACGTTTTACGTATTCAAAATTTGGCTCGTCACCTTAAAGATAGTTGTTAGAACAGTTACTTGTCTGACTGGGGCTTGAAATGATATAGAGCATATTAATGGTTGGTCAAAGGTCACTAGAAGCGGTCAGTTGAACTTTTGCCCTGAATGCCGCCTTGGATATTATTAATGTTTGCTGTTGATTAGGAGCTAAAATTTGTAACAAATGTGTACATTTAGAAGATGCCAATAATTGTCAGTTATAAATATGCGCACTGTAGAAACTATGTTGCTTCCATTACTATCAGTATGTACATTATTTATTCCCTGTATTAATTTTCAACAGAATTAGGCACTAATATTTAAGCATGTACATGGAGAAGAACTAGCTTTCTTTTATATTTGTATACATGTGTGATACCTTAGTGTTTGTACTTCATGAGAGCATCACTAATATGAAAACAGATCAAGCAGTATTATGTGTATGTGTAAAACTTGTTTTGCAAATTTCAAGGAGACAATGCAGAAAGTCATGGTTTATATCAAGTACTAGTGTAGAAATGCCTTTTCTTATATGCAGATGCCCAAGTTGTGGATGCAGGGATGGTTCTTTTATACTCTCTCTCGTCACCAATTTGGCCTGTTTTAGAGAAGGAATTTTAGGCTACACAAAGCTGACTTACATGTCATCCTAAACAAATTTTCTCTTTCTGTCAGCTTTGTATTTGTTATACTATATATACTTTGACTTGATGGAATCTGTGTTGTGAACATGTAGAATTGCTACACAATTTTGTGTGTTTCAACCCTCCGACATATACACATACCTCACACTTGTCATCCCAATGCAACAACTGCCCTACTGTTTTTGTATGGATTTTTCAGTAATCCAATAAAGTATTGATGTATGTACCACTGTAACTGGCTTTGGGTTTCTTATTGCATGGATGTTTTATTCTGTGTCATTATATGAGGTTTGTGTTGTATGAATGAACCTATGAACTTAACACACTCTAATGCTGTCCTTGCAATTCTTGGAGAAAGATATCAAGAAGATGCCCCAAATTTCCCCCACATTTTTCATGGGGCACATGATATGACTTCATTTCTAAAATTGCCTTAGTAGAACCATCCATATAATGCCCTTTTTATTGGACTAGATTTTGCAATCTGCACAAAAAATGTAGACATCAAAATTTGCCTTACACGGGACGAGCAAATATTGTACCACAAAAAAAAGAAATTAAGTACCTAAAAGTAGTAAAACCCTAACAAAAATAGCATTTACATAGCAAATAAATAAACCTAAAGCTTTCTTTAACTTCTACCCTGATCTGCCTGTCTAATCTAATAATTATAATTTTTTATGCCAACCACTTGCTGCACAATGAATTGCCTCTAAGATAGAGTTGATGCACAACAATAAATGAAAGATTGTGCGCTTGCAAGCACTTCTCCAACTTGATGTGACTGAGAGTTATTCACAGCTGCCATGGAAGATGACCCTTGGTCCTAATGTTTTTGTTAGAGGACTGCAGGTTGTCCTTCAGTATTGTAGAACAGGTCTCCACCAGGCCACTAACCCAGCCAGCATCACTCCACTCACCATGCACATGTAGTGTCCAATCTGGAGTCCATTGGGCCCCCAACCTCGCCTGTAGGTAACATTAAATACCTGTTATCAAAAGCAAATAGATAGATTACCCAATAGCTACATCCATAATAGGTTTTGCTAAAAGCTTGTCAAAAATTACAAATGAGAAATGTCTTTTGAAACCAGTTTGCTATAATCAAATTAACCTTTAGCACACTGAAGTAATTGCTTGGCTACCAATTCTCTCTGGTTATGGGATAGGCTGCAGGGAGAAGGTTAAAGCGCTCATGACATGAGTACCTGAGCCTGGCTAAAAGCGATGCTGGTGGTGACACATCGGTGGGCTCGCTGGCGTCAAAGAACAACAACATCAGGGAGAAAATACAGAACAACAGGCCGGCTAGCAGGGGCACCAGGACACTTGTCAACAGGGCTGCAACAAACAAAACAAAATAAACAAAGATTAACAAATGTTAATGAAGTTTAGACATCCAGGTATTTAAACTCTATCACTGGATAAATTACATTGATGAGTAAAGATTAACAAAGGGAAACGAGGTTCTTGAATCACAACTGAAGTACAAATCACCTGTATGATATTATTTCTTAGCTACTAATACAATCTTCTAGATCTTGACACTGTACTGCGTCAAACACACAGGACGGGTGAGCAGCGCTCTAAATACTCCTCAAGTGTAGCAGAACAGCTTCCTTAAACCAAACTTGGTGGCCTCTGGTATTTTTGGTAAGGCCTGCAGAAGCTTGTTCCAGTCTCTTACAGTCCTTGGGAAATACGAATACCTATAGCAATCCTTGTGGAATGCTAGTGTCTTGTAGGAACTCGGCTTTGCGTGCCGTGATTTGCGCGATAACATGTACCTTCCTTAGTATCTAAATGGACAGTTAGGTGGATTTTACAAAGAGTAAACTAATACTGACGACTACGAGGAAAAATAATTTTGAAACTGTAATTATGTCCATACCTGAAGCAACTTTTAAAGCTGAGAAGATGACATCTGTAGCGGCATCCATCTTATACTGGTAGGTGACAAGTTATTGAAACCACTGCTGCATAAACACAGATGTAACATGAGAGCAAAATTATCATTTATTCCTTCTCCTGTTACTGTATGTTGCCAGGCTTAAATTACCTTACATAAAGAGTGAGACGTTATAAACACAGTACCACGTGTAACCAAGGAGGTTCAACAATTTTTTTAACCTCCTTGGTGTAACATAGAACAGACCACAGAGATTTTCAGATACAGGAATAAAAATTTTTCATAACATATCTTATGGACATGGCGTTGATTTTTAAAAATCATATCAAAATCAACAGTTACTTTCTATGTGCTTGCTAAAGGAGCTCATTGATTGATAAGGTCTATAAGGGCCGCCATATAACGTTTAGAATGTTTAGAAATGGACAGATAACAATCACACAGCCCCTCCCACCCGTTTAGTACGCCCCTCCCCGCCTTTGTTTACAAAATTATCGAGGAGCTGTCAAGAATTTGACGCGCGAATCGCCGCATATTTACACAACAGATTGGCGACAAAGCCAACAACAGAATATGTAGAGATACACATTTGATGCTACATGCGGTTAGGAATATCAGTTTGAACTTTGCGCGGCAAAATTGTGGCAAATAAACTCACCAAATGGCGGGGAATGTCTGGGAATTTCGTGAATGACGCTAGAAACTTTCACTGTAAGTCAGTTGGAATAGCCGACTTTTAAAAGAGGGGTATAAAGCTTTTACTGATACTTTACTTTATAGATATTGGGCTGGCTATTGTATACAATGTACAATTTTATCAATAAACTATTTATGAAATAAACATTATACTTTAATTTCTGTATTTAGGTTCATATATAACAAAAGTTAAGCATTTATGTAACGTTTCAGTACAATCTGTTCACCCAAAAATTAATGAACTTTACTATATACGTCTCTAGTAACTGTATATTATGCCTGATTGTTTTTCATACATTCAGCAAAATAGCTGAAGTTTCACGTAAGTTGATAATATGTATCTGACATAATATAACTAACCAGTAAGGTTCAATAGCTGTTATTGTAATTTTAGAAGTAAAAAGACATATTTGAATGTTTAAATCCTATTTTTGTTACGGCACTTGATTATAATGCGTTAAGCCAGCTAATTTCATCATCCGAGAGGTCAGCTGGTGGTGTGATGATGACATGTTGATGCAGTGTTCAGTTCGTGCTGCAGGTTTGTTCGGTCGGACCACTTTTCTGACGTTTCTTCACCGCCGACGGCGAACGATCGATCGGGAACCACAGTGTGCCGTGTTGGCAGAGCCCTGCAGGAGCGCCGAGCGTACGATACAGGTTGGTACGGGCGGGAAGCGTGGAGGAAATAGCGGTCAGGGCCGGGGCGTGGTGCCGTAAACAAGTGGCTAGAGTGGCTTTTCCTAGAAAAACTGGAATTTAATAGCTTTACCTATAGAAATCCAATACTTTGAAAGGTATTTGATTGTTGTTGTGTGCTCCTGTTACGTATTTAAAGATTTCACGCCTCGGGCCTTGTATTCTTGTCAAAATAAGAGCGTCTTAAAAAAATGACACCAAATTTATTGCATGTTGTAAAATTTTGATTTGTCATATTTTTGGAGGATGACCTACAGGGAGGATGGTAAATTATATTACACCCAAAATGTTATAATATAACATGAACATTAATATGATTAGTTAAGAACATTAGTTTACTGATAGATCATCAAACATCTACGAAGAGAACACCTTGTATACCAGGCATTGTGTTTTATTTTATCAATCTCTGTAAAATGAATATTAGTCTATCGTTGATACTACATACTAGCAGCCAATCATGTTATATCATTGTGGGATTACTTACAGCTGTTATATTGTTGCCGTTTCGGTTGTTTGAAAACCAAATCTGTGAATAGAAGAGTGGAGTGAAGAATCCTAATTGTTAAACAAACAAGGAAGTATGCCCCTCAGCATGTGCTTGGAGACTACAATTGTGTTGCAGTAGTTTCAAAATGCTCTTGATTTCATACAAAGTACAGTAATGTGTTATTTTATCAATATCAGCAAAGAAAACATTGATATACTGTACTATGGTAGCTCTCTGGCATTCAGTGACATGGCACTTAAGATATTGCTTGGAAACCAAAATTTGCAGTAGGACAATCTTGTATGGCAGCTTTAAGGTATTTCATGTCAGAAACACCTGTTTCACCATGCCATCCACAGTGCTTATTGTACGTGGTAAAACTTAATAAATAAGTATGAAAGACATATTTTACAACATCTGATTGAAAACCATACATGTACTTGTGTATTGTATTTACATTACACTATGGTGTGATTGATCAACCCATATTGCACCATATTTGCCCACGGAGTGTTGTTGACTTTTTCGTCATCCAAGTTTGCTCTCTGATATCCGTATTTGAGCAGGGCTTCCCCAGAAAGGTTGCGGGGTCACCTGTGTACGTGATCTCAGGTGAGATACAGGTGTGCAGCATATATATATATAGTTGGAGTCTTGGTTACATACTGGACAACCTGTACAGAAGTTATGGTTACTGAGTCAGGGCTTGAAATACCACAGGACATATAGGAAGCCTAGATATAAATTTATGCCTGCCTTGCTACTAAATTTTCTAGTATCTTATTGAAAACGATTGCTAGAGCTGCATACCTCTAACAGTTACAGATAGAAATATATTTTTTTTAATTAAGTAATACAACTGTAACAGTCTTTTTACCAGAGTATGATTGATAATGATTACAAGGGTTTATAATCATTGTTAATAATAATAATGTTATTATGGCAAGAAACCACAAGATTTAGTCTTGTTCTACTACAACTACGGTGCTACCAGTGTGACAACCCTACAAAACAAAATTACAGTCCAGAAGAAATTTTGAATACCTAAAAGAGCTGCCCTTTGACGTATATAATTACAACTTGCAGAACAACATTTTTAGAACTGTTTACCTCTAGTCTGAGTCCTTTCTGGGTTGGTCAGTCAGTCTACAAGTAGACCAAAAGTGGAAAAATACAGTTTGTGTTACACCTAGGCTCTATCCACTGCAAGGTTTACAACAGTAAAAGTGTCTTGATTTTTTCGTTCGAATTCCCTTTTTTGAATTTTTTTTTTTAATTTAGACTATCACAATCTTCATTTTAAACTTGAAGTTTTTGTGATTATGTAAATAGACTTAAGTTGGACTTTGGAAAAGGGATTTCCTTCCATATTTAGACAAGCTTCAATGTTTTAGTTTATTGAAATATTCTTAAGCCCCTTTCTGGGGCTAATCTTCCAGGGCTAATCTTTGATGGAAAAGATACACAGAATACTAAGGGATTGGGGAAACTACCAACACCCCAGAAAATGTCGGCAAAGATCGTGTTATAAGATTGGTTAAGCACATACTGAAACAGTATCAAGCAAAATTCATGAGCTTAGTACTAGTAGACGTACATCTGTTTATATCTGCCAGTTAAAGAAATGAAGGATCATACTGTATTTGGTTTATCAGGCCATATCTGTTATGCCGCCTGATGGCCTTTTAAATGGTATAACCTTGGGGCACTTATGGTATGCACAAATGCTTATCCGGTAAAGGCCAGTGTGCTTATACATTGCGGTAGAATGAAGGTATGTATTATTAAAATGTAACGTTACATAACGTTATATAACTGTATATCTAGAATAAGAAAAAGCATTCATTTGGGGGTTGAGTACCTTTTAATGTTAAAGAGATATTTAAGGAGTGTTTTATTTTACTATGCACGAGTTGAAAGGCATGGTCTTCAAGGTTGAAAAATTATCCTTGTCTAAAGTTGTATGGCATTATGGCCTTGACTCTTATTGGGGTGAACATCGACATTTATAAGGCATCCAAACACGAGAATTGATGTAATAAAAATAGTCAGACACATGTTTTTTTAGATAGAGAGTCGAAGGTCTTTCACCGTTTCCGGTACATAATATCACGTTGTTATTGTTCATCCACCGTTCTCAACAATGACCATCACGTCATAACCAGTACTAGTACACATACTTTGGAATCTATCTTCAATTTTATACCTTCCTAATCCTTTAGTTTAAATGTTCCCAAACTACACTTGTTTACAACCTGAAATACATGCAGGTCCCTGCTAATCTCCAAGCAGATCTTTCAGTTGGGTGGCAAAAGACAGTATCCATTGGCCATCCTGTATCCATTGGCCGTCCTGTATCCATTGGCTAATGGACACTCCTCTGGCCAATGGATACTGTCTTGCCACCGAAAGATCTGCTTGGAGATTAATCCCTCCTGCAGTCACCTTTTGTTCCGGTCCGTTAGCTACATGACACATCACCCTGTCACGTTAAACATTTACGAGTTCCCACAAATTAATTAGCGGCAAAAGTTAATGAAGCAATAAGTATTCCACCCCACGAGTGAGTGGGTTCATAAATGGCGATACTAGTAGCAGGATGTGATCAAGGTAACCTAGGGTGGGAAATCCATGTAACCTTGAATTTGCTAACCAAAAAATGTAACAATCTGTACATACATTGTAGCTCAGTCATTTATGGGGTTGGGAAAATGACAGCGATGAAACGGAATGACTTTTTTTACTAAATTTCTTCGTCTTTCTCAAGAATCTGTACATAGCTGGTAAGAACATGAACATACAATAAAGGTCTTCCTTTTTTTCATTGTTTTCACCAGATAAAGTAAGACTTACAATCAGAAGACAAGATGTCAGCAAAGGCGATCCTTGAGGCTGCTGGTAAGGGTCTCCTGAACGCCAACTTGGCGGGGGCTGGGATGGTGAAGAACAGGATCGCTACTGTCAACAGCGAAACTGACTGGGACTTCCTTGTCGCTTCAAACCCATGGATGAGCACAGAGGTATGTTAGCAGATTTTGGGATAGAGTGAATGTGTGAATGCAGGGAATGATTGAATGAAAGAAAGAACAAATACACACGGAAATGAATAATGTTTCATTGAAAGTAAATTGTACCTTAGTAACATGATTTTTATGTAATAATATTCACATATTTTGGGAAAGGAGGTATTTAGTAATGAAACAGCAAAAGACAAAATCATAAGTTGAATTCATATAAAAGTTATCATACAGAACATAATAATCTTGTAATGATTCAAAACTTCTTTTGTCACTTTCTTCCTCAGCGTCTTGTTGCCAAGCCAGACCAGCTGATCAAACGGCGGGGAAAACTTGGGCTCATCAAGGTCAACGCGACCTTGGACGACGTCAAACAGTGGGTCAATGAAAGGATGAACAAGGAGATGAAGGTAGGGAAATACTCAAGATGTTCTGAACTAGAAGCAGAAAGTCTCTACCATAAGTGCTTTTATAGTATACTTTTGTAGTTTCAGTTTAGGTGTTATTTCCTGATGTGACATTTAATCACAAAGACACGTCTGGACCCCTCCCCCTTACATGAACTGTGTTCTTTTCCCAAGGTCCTGCTACATTGTACATACTTTTGCATACTGTCAAAATGCTTTTAATGTAGCCTTGGGGAAAAATGTAGCAGGTCCTGCTTGACTATATTCAGCCATTTTTCCCATACCAGAAAAACAAAATAATACATGTATCAAGGCACTGAACCCTACATTATAGGCTAGAAGAGACCTTTGCATGTCCTCGTGTTGTCCTTGATACCAAGGAAACACAGATCTAATCATTGCTGTGTGCTGGGAGCTCGAGGCTGATCACGAATGGGGAGGACAGTAGAAATAATTTCAACTGTCAGAGTCAAGGTCATGTGACAGTGAGGACAGTCCAGGTCATGATGGCGGAAATTGAATTCTAAATCTGCTCATCCCTGTTTCTATCCCACCTGTTTGACTTTGACGGATGCTGCTGCTTGAGCTGGAAGCTTAGTTTTACATTTCCCTGAGATTAAAAGATATCTACGAAATGATATGGCTATAACGGTCATCTAATCTACAGGGCTAAACCTTCAGTGGAACAAGCAAGGAGCTTTAAATCTAGATTTTAAGCTCTTTGGTACAAGTGATCATAATCAATAGCCATCAGGGCTTAAAATACCACCTGCATATACATGACACGATTGTTATAGACTTAGTCACAAACATTCTTTGAGTTGCAGGATAAAATTGATCAGGCCCTTAATTTTGATACGCAATGCCATCCTCATCTTTAGCTTTGATAGTGATATATCTTGTTCAGACTTGAACAGTTGGTGGTGGAAATGTAATGAAACTACCTGAGCGCTACCCCTACCTGCATATACATCTGTACATGACACAATTGTTATAGACTTAGTAACGAACATTCTTTGAGTTGCAGGATAGAATAGATCTGGCCCTTAATTCTGATACCCAATGCCATCCCCATCTTTAGCTTTGATATCTAGCGATATATCTTGTTCAGACTTGAACAGTGGGCGGTGGAAATGTAATGAAACTACCGGAGCGCTACCCCTACCTGCATATACATTTGTACATGACACAATTGTTATAGACTTAGTAACAAACATTCTTTGAGTTGCAGGATAGAATAGATCTGGCCCTTAATTCCGATACCCAATGCCATCCCCATCTTTAGCTTTGATAGTGATATATCTTGTTCAGATTTGGACAGTGGGCGGTGGAAATGTCATGAAACTACCGGAGCGCTCCCGTCCTGACGCATGTGTCCTCCTCACAAGGACATTAAACATCGACTCTAATCAAATCCACCAGATTGGGAACGGGAACCCCGCTCCCAGGGGAAATATGGAGCAGGAAATAACGCAAACGAAATGGAACGGTTTGACCTTTATCCAATGAGACGTAAGAGAAGTGATTACGCTACGGTGGACAAACGTTCATCTAAAGGAACTTACGTTACCAGATGTGCAGTTAGGTAAAAATTTATGTCAATAAACCAGATACATCTTTACAATGATATTATCTATTAATCAAAAAGGAAATCCATGTATGGTAAATTCAATTACAGTCACTGATGATGTATCATTTGCAATCAATTGGCTGATTTTAGTTACACAAAAGGGGGATATAGGTGAATAAATATTATGTAATACAGATATGATTTATTATAAGTAAATGCTGACTTAGCCTTGTTGTATTAACATTGTGCTTGCTAAAATTCATAATGACAAATTTAACAGGTCTTTGTAACTGAAGGGACTGGATCTTGGTTTTTCTTTTGTTTTTTTCTTTGAATGCCCTGTAAAAATTGTTAAGTGCCTTTTCCAAGGGCACAAGGTTGGTGACATGGCAGGATTCGAACCCGGGACCTCTTGGTTTTGAGCCGAATGCTCTGCTGTTACGCCACACGACCCCATCTTAGTTTATAACATTTAATGAAATGAAATGAAATCATTTTGATTCTTCTGTGTTTTGTTTTCAGATTGGGAAGTCGACTGGTTTGCTGAAGAATTTTGTGATTGAGCCGTTTGTACCCCACAAGCAGGTAGGACCTTATGGAGTAGAAAAGCAGAATTTACCTTCAAAATTTTCACTTTGCTGTTCTCAAATCTGTCAAAATTTGTTCGTTAACAGTTGGATTTGTTTCTCTTTGTAATAAGTTGTGTAACGTTACACGTTCCCTTGTTCTTTTGCAGGAGGAAGAGTTCTATGTGTGTATCTACGCTCACAGAGACGGGGAGACCATCCTGTTTCACCACGAGGGAGGGGTGGATATTGGGGATGTGGATGCCAAGGTAAGGCTCCTGTTTTTGTGGAGGTTGTCAGAATGTACTCTATCATTCAGCTACCCATATCTGCTAGTATCAAAGAAGTATTAAAAGATAGAATTATAGGTGCAAAATGTATTATTTTTAACTAAGCTTTGGATATGCACAAAAACTTAGATTTACCGGGCCAGTATATTTGGGTAATGTTTACTTTGTTTTTTCTTAATAAACACTCGTGAACATTACAATGTCATTAAATAAAAGTCAAGTATGATATAATACCGGACTTTTAACGGTTGTAAAGGAAATTACTGCAATTGACCTTTATTTACTACCATAATTGTAAAGCCAGATACTGTGTACATAGTAAACATTACCTGAGTTACAACCATTGGTAAATCCAACTTTTCGTGCAGTGATATATTCCAATATTCTGACAGTGAAATTGTTAAGATATGATATCTTTGAGTAAGTAATGAAATATTCTCTCAGATCCAGTGTGATGATTTACTGACTTGTGTAGATTAATGAAGCTTAGTACTTCATTAAGTTAAATGTTACTTGTTATTTTCTCCAGGCTGTTAAGTTAGAGGTACCAATCGGGGAGACACCATCCCTGGAGGATCTGCAGAGGAAACTTGTCCACAATGCACCTGCACCCAAACAGCCTGTCCTGGCACAGTTCATCTCCAACCTGTACACAGTCTACACAGACCTGTACTTCACATACCTGGAGATCAACCCACTCGGTCAGTCTCATGTATTATTACTCCTGCTCAGTGCTAAGAAGAAAACATTGCAAGATAAATACTTGTTCAACTCTAAGTATACAGATTCTACTAGTCACTGATGAAAACTGTTACTTGAAATGCATTAACATTGAATTTAATTGATATCTATCCATTTGCTTGAGTAACAATTCCCTTCAAACCATACAAGTAGTTCCTACCAGTATAGGCATGTTGTAGGAAACCTCTAGGAGAGCTTTGTGAAAGCTTCTTCAAAATATGACTTAACCTTTAGCACACTGAAGCAATTCTCTATTGGTTATGAGGTAAGGCAGCAGGGAGAAGGTTAACAACCTTGTATGCTTCCGAAAGTCTCCATGACATGTTGTTTGTGACTTGTTGTTCGTTGTGACAGTTGTTACCGATGTGATGCCTTGTTTAAAATGTGACACAACTTAGCTTTAGCATGCAGAAGTGGTATTTTGGCTACCAATTCTCTATCAGTTAAGGGGTTAGGCAGTAGGAAGAAGGTTAATTCTCATGTTTTTTGTGACTTGTTTTTTATTCTGACAGTTGTAACCGATGAGGGTGTGTACATCCTGGATCTGGCAGCCAAGATTGACCAGACAGCAGAGTTCATCTGTAAGGCTAAGTGGGGGGAGCTGGACTTTCCTCCACCGTTCGGGAGGGAAGCCTACCCGGAGGTCAGTTCACAGAAGAACTTTATTGCACGACAATCGCACATGGAACAATGTATGGCAAAGCAACAATGTATGGCAAACTACATAAATAAAGGAACAAACAATAAAGTAAATGTGTTGAATAAGACCTAATGTCGAATAAAACCTAACATATCTTAATTATTCAAACAATAAGGGCTAGCACAAGTCTTTCATAAAGTGTCACAATCGATTGGACTAATCACAAGTTTCTTTTTTTTTTCCAATAACGAAGCGGTCCTATTTCTACCTATTTTCTACCTATTTTTGCGTTGTGAGAACCATAATGATTACATGTGTCCTGTGTTACACACTCCTCACTGTCAGGCCCCTGCTAACTGGGCCTCCTACCTGAGAGTTTTTGGCCAATACAGCTACAGTGTAGCTTGAACTCAAGAGAACAATTCCAATCCCTGGAAATACTAATAGGAGCTCAGGGTTCTTGATAATTGTCAGGGTTGTTTATCTTTATCAGGACTCTTCATCGTTATCATTATTTTTATATCATTACCAATAGGAGCTCAGGGGGCGAATATCACATTCCTGTCCTCAGTGCTGAAGTGGTTCTATTTGAATCTGATTTTGTATTTTAGTGTCATACTGGCTTTTTAAGGTTGATGTAAAATTGCAGGAGTCCTATATCACGGATCTTGTATAGTATTAAAGTGTAAACTGGTGCTGTCCTTGGTGCTGAACTAGTTTTATCTGAATCTGAAATGTTGTGTTTTTTATCATAACAGCTATCTAAGGTTGTCATGAAATTTATTGACATCTACAGAAGGCCTATATCACAGTTCTTGTAGTTTAACACTTGTCCTGTCCTTGGTGCTGAACTACTCCTATCTGAATATGAAGTGTTGTATTTTGGTGTCATAACTGTTGACATGAAATTGTTGACATAGTCAATATCACAAATCTTGTATTTCAAAGTTTAACATATATAAATCCTGTCCTTGCTTCTGAACTGATTTGAATCTGAAATTGTTGACAACTCCAGGAGGCATACATCGCAGATCTTGACGCCAAAAGTGGTGCCTCCCTGAAACTGACCATCCTCAACCCAAAAGGCCGGATCTGGACCATGGTAGCTGGAGGTGGAGCTTCAGTCATATACAGGTTAGTGTAAGACTGTACAAAAACATGTCAATGGTAACTATGTTGGACTCATCTTTTGGTTTTAGTGAATCTATGCTGCCATCCATTCATAGTACTTGGCATGAACATCAACAATGTTATTTAAAAGTGTTATTTTTCAACATGATTCTTGGGCTTACCAGGCTTTCAACCAGTCCTTATGTGACTGAAGGCTGAGTTCCTCAGTATATTACTTCAGTTTTGGATAATTTTGGTTTCATTGACTTACTGTTATTGCCACAGTGACACCATCTGTGACCTGGGTGGTGCCTCAGAGCTGGCGAACTATGGAGAGTATTCAGGCGCCCCCAGCGAAGGGCAAACTTACGAGTACGCCAAGACAATCCTGTCACTGATGACTCGGGATCAACATCCAGAAGGTGGGAAAGTCTTCCTTGTTTTTCCATATAATATCTTAATCTAACCCTTGTCCTGTGGGACCCATATGCATCTATGTATATGGGTTGCACATACAGTACCTTCTGTATAGTGCCCTGTGTATGTACGATTTGGGGGTGTTTCTCGTGCAACGCATCACACCGCAGCGAAACACAACAAATAAGTAACTACAATCAATCAACCGCAGGCATCAGTAGAAGTAACTACGCAGGGCAAAAAATGTCAGGGGGTCTGAGACCTGATTGTGACTTCAAATTACTTTAAAATATTGTGTAAAATAGTCCAGCAGGACAAGGGTCAAAGTCTACTTACTCTTTTCTTCACCATTCTTGGATTACATTGGAATACATACAGCACTATCTCACCCCCCTCTCACCACAAGAATAACATTGAAAGGTGCATTAAATCGAATCATAAACCCTCTCCTCCTCACAAGCAGTCCGTGAGGGAAATTATCCTGCTGCTACTGGTAGGAAAACTTGCATTTTCTCTCTATTCCTTTTCTTTCTTTATAACCTATATCTCATGTTATGATGCCCTCTTTGGAGACTGCTTCTCTGAACGGTAGCTGTGGTTTGCTTAGGTGACTGTCACGTTACTAATGGCTTTCTTGCATATGAATAAACTTTTTAAAGTTTTTATAGAATCTGATGTGATTGTTTTCAGGCAAGGTGCTCATCATTGGTGGTGGAATTGCCAACTTCACAAATGTGGCAGCCACGTTCAAGGTAGTGAACATTTCAGATTTCTTATTATATAACGAAGTCATGGTTGCTGAATTCTGCATATAGGTCGCATAATTCTGCATTTGGATTGTGTACAGTCATGTTGCTTGCTTGGCTGTAAGATTGCTTATTGAGGCACATATCTGTTTCATGTATGTTTTTATTTTTTTATGTACCCTGGAAGACTAGCCAATTTTGGCTCAAGGGTATCGAAATAAAGTCATTAAAGACAAGGCTAACACTAAGTAGACAAATAGTTCTTCTATTCAGACCTTCAGTATTCAAAACAGGAAAATTTCATTACCTTCATACTAAGGATTCTCTGATGGTGTCATACTGTTTCTCTGTGTACTGTAGGGTATAGTGCGAGCTCTGAAGGACTACCAGGCTAAGCTGAAGGAGTACAATGTGACTGTGTTTGTCAGGAGAGGAGGACCTAACTACCAGGAGGGGCTGCGCATCATGAGGGAACTGGGTAAGTTGTCATACTACATGTACACTTTGTAGTAACCGTTGTACAGTCAGCACAAGACCTACTTGTAGAAGAAATGCATAACTTTTAGCTTTTTTTTTGTTGTAAACTCATATATTGTGTAACATCTATAGCTGCTATAGAACCTAATTATTCTTCACTCAACAGATTTTTGGCCTTACTACTGAATGTCTTTGATGTGTCTGTGGCCTTGCTGGAACTGAATTTTACCTTATGATACCTGTGCTAAGTTGTGCTGCAGTACCAAGGAAACCTACTTGGAGGCCCAAAATTTACCTTATTGAACAACTATTAAGACAATCAATCCATAATGTCTTAAATAATGCTGCCCTAAGCAAGGACATTAGATATAGAGATATAAAGTCCTTGCTCTATAGTGTGTGGAGAGCTGGAAAAGTAAAGAACACAGACACACCAAAAATAATACCTCCATGAACAGAGGTAAAAATTCCTCTTTAAAACAATTGTACATGTACTTCACTTCCAGGCCAGCATATCGGCATCCCGCTGTACGTGTTCGGAACAGAGACCCACATGACGGCGATTGTTGGCATGGCGCTGGGAAAACGACCAATCCCTGACGAGCCTGAGGACCACAAGACCACGGCCAGCTTCCTGCTGTCTGGCAGCAGCAAGTCTACAGCGGTGAGGGAGAATCTTACATGCATTGAGTTCATGAGCCTTAGAGTGCTTCCTTTCATCCCAACAGTCCACCAAATGTATAAAGCTACCAAAACAAAATATCTGACATTTTTGCCATAATTTGTTCAGTGAAACCATGATCAAACGTCCAAATCCACAAAGTCAAGGTTTACACTGTAACAGTTACGGAATATCATATACATTTGTATATGTATCTCCCTCTGTATAGTACTCTTCAGTATTACACATCCATAGGCATGCAACATCAACTGGTAACATATATAATTATACATATAACATGTATAATATTATCATATCAAACAATTTGTCACAAGTTTGGAGTGTCTCAGATGCTAAAGGATTAGAAGCAAATATTTTTTATGTGGTATCTTGATCAAGTTTTGTTTGTAATTTTTCTTCCTTACATGTTACAACCAAAATGTTCTGGTTTCTGATATTGGAATTTCCCACATGTTCCCCTCCTCAGACCCCACCGATCAGCCGTACAGGTTCCGTGTCTGACGGCAGCAGCAGTCCCCTGCCCGGCTCCAGGAAGATGAGACATCCCAGTAAGGACGGCTTCGGCAGCGCTGCAGCCAAACCTGCCAAACCACTCTTCACTGGTGAGTGGTAGAGAGGTGGTCTGTAGATAATCAGGACAAGCTTCCTTTAACTAAAGGCAACATTGTGTCCTGTTCTATCCATTTAAGAAGCCTGATTTGAGAAATGAAAAAATGATAACCAAACTTGCTAAACCACTTTTAGCAGATTGTTTTAGTGTGTAGATATGGGGTAGATAAGGCTATGTTTAAGGCAGCTTTGTTTCCAATCCTTTCCCTTTTGAAATAAGAAAAATGATAAGTTAACATAACATAAAAAGATTTTTTGTGATCAAAAAGATATTTTGCGACATAGTCTGTGCAGAATCCCAAACTTCAATACCCATACATTTGTACATGTAGGCTGCATACTTTTCAGTTCCATATCTCTCTGTTTTAATTGATTTTTTTTCACGAGTTGCTGTACGTAATGTTTACACATAATCTTATATTCATTCATCTAAAATGTAAACCATTTGTTTCTCCCTCCCAGAGAGCTCTAAGGCTATAATCTGGGGCATGCAGAACCGTGCCGTGCAGGGCATGCTGGACTTCGACTTCTGCTGTAGCAGGAAGACTCCATCAGTCGTGGCCATGACTTATCCTTTCAGGTATGCCTTATTATCAAACAAGGTGTTAGAATTTTGTTTGTTGAACAATGGGACAGAAGAATCTGACTCACATATAACATCCATGTCCATAATATCACCAGGGTCCATTATATCGCCACCTTGAGAAACAGTGTGCTTAAAGTAAAGATATTTTTACTGCAACATACCCTAGGTATGTACATTTGATGTGTGAAGGAGTGCATACCAAAAGTATGTTGCAGTAAAAATATCTTAAAGCACACTATTTCTCAAGGTGGCGATATTATGGACCCTGGTGATATTATGGACACAGATGTTATGCCTATTATCAAACACTGCAATGTAGCAGAATTTTGTTTGTTGAACAATGGGACATGAAGAATCTGACTTGCATAATCAATAGTATATATTGAACAAGTTTTGATCCAGAACTAAGAAGTCCTGTCTGATCTCCATGTGTATGCATGTTCATGTATAGCTTCTGTCTGTGTTGTATAACATTAACAGTCCTTCGGCATAATACACCATCTTGACCATGGATAATCTGACTCAACAGCATTTGACAATCAAAAACCAAATGCACTCGAGGCACACAAAGTATTTGTTTCCATTCATAGCTGTGTCTATCTGTCTCCTGCTATTGCCTATGGCTTTTCTTGAGAAATATTCATTGACAACTACATGTATATAATTTATGCATTCACATTGTACACAGATTTCAAAGTTGTATGTTGGTCCCAGCTGAATCACAAACTCATGTACATTGTTGGACATTTCAGTGGTGACCACAAACAGAAGTTCTACTGGGGACACAAGGAGATCCTCATCCCTGGTCAGTATGACTTGTTTAATTTTTCTCTTTTCCTGTCAATTGTTTCAGACAATGTTTTGCAGATCACTGTGTTTTATTATTTATCAAGTCATGCACAAATGTATGCTGAGGTGCTCCAGTAACATTTATGTCTAAACCTACATGTATGTTCTACCACATTTTTCAAATATATAGAACATGATTGATTCATTCAGGGCACTAATGATTTATTGTCTGATAGACTTATAAAGCTCTTTTTTTCCTCTGGTCTGTAGTGTACAAGAACATGGATGACGCCATGACCAAGCACACAGACGCTGACGTCCTCATCAGTTTTGCCTCCCTGAGATCAGCCTACGACTCCACTGTGGAGGCTCTGCAGTACTCACAGGTGGGGACTGGGATGCCAGCCTGGGCTAAATACTGTCCTTTTTCAGTGGAAATGTCTATAAAGACCTCTTGCTATTGTCTTCATTAAAAAAAAAAACTATACAGTTTTTAGTGGCAAATGTGCACATCTTGGCACATTGGCAACACCAAATCCATCTGTGTCCTCATCAGTGTTTGGACTCGTTATCAACAATTAGCCTGAAGACCCAGTGGGCGTAACTCCACCGTACAGGGAGGGAAGTCATGTAAAGTGCCTTTCCCACAGGAAACAACATCAGACATGTCAGGATATCGGACCCGGGACCTCTTGGTCTGAGTTGGAAAGATATTTAGATGTGCTTTTGATATACAGAGAGTCTTATGTTTTACATTCAATGACATGTAATACTATGACCTGTGTGTTTCAGATCCGTACTATTGCCATCATTGCTGAGGGCATTCCAGAGGCAAAAACCAGGCAGCTGAACAAACTGGCCTCAGAGAAGGGAGTCACCATCATTGGACCTGCCACGGTAAGTACAGTGTATTGTACAGTGTACTGTAACTGGTTTTGTTCCTCTTAAACAGTATTTTACATGTAGCAAAGGCTACATCAGGCAAGTTTCAGATTGCTTGTAAAAATAGACTGTAATGTCCACATTTTCAGCAGGATAGATGCAAAATGGCTGCCATCAAGCCTTAGTAAAGGTGTACAAGCATATCTAACCCTCGGAAGATGGGGAACAACAGACGCTAAACCAGATAGTGAGTGAGTCTGTGAGTGGTGTCACAATCACAATTTACTAAAAGGGCAGGAACATTGGCTTGGGCATTTTCAGGCAGTTTGATCAGACATACAGACCCATGAATTTAAAGCCCCTTTGTGGTAGTAATAGTTTATTTGTTCATACAATATCATACAGTGTCATTACAGGTTACACTAGCATGTCAAACACTTCTCGCAGCCCATAGGCTGAATTGGGGTTTTGACATTTACAAAACAAAGTACCGGTAAATATATCTGGTTCAGAATCAAAAGTACTAGTCTAAGAATAAGAGCAGAATTTAAAATTGAGAAATTGGGCTGGTCTCAATCATGATGTTTCTGACTCAGGGAGAAGAGTTGCTGTTACAGTTCTACTCGGTAACCCATAACCCAGGTGAGTGGTAATACCATTCAGGTGGTAATACCATTCAGATGATACCATTCAGGTGGTTAACCAACCTTGAAGTGGCCTAACGGCCGTGTTACATGGCAACCACTAAGTAGAAAAAAAAAAAATTGTACTATTCTATACCAGGTTGGAGGCATCAAGCCGGGGTGTTTTAAGATTGGGAACACAGGCGGCATGCTGGATAACATCCTGTCCTCCAAACTGTACCGGCCGGGCAGCGTGGCGTACGTCTCGCGGTCAGGAGGGATGTCCAACGAGCTGAACAACATCATATCCAGGAGGACCAACGGGGTGTACGAGGGCGTGGCCATCGGTGGGGACAGGTCAGACAGTTGTTACTTGAAATTCTTATCTTCTAATGTTAATGTCCATACATGTACATGTACAGGTAAGTTACTAGTTGCTTTGAAAGATTTGTCGGGCACAATTGTTGTCACAATCTCCCAGAAGAGCTATAGTTGTTTCCATAACCATGCAGTTCCTGAATAGGTTATGGTTAAGATCAGGCATGGTTCTGGATAGATCCAAGAATGTAGGACCAACAGGGTGTGGCAATCAGTGGGGACAGGTGAGATGGTTGTTTGTTTGCTTGCTGGTTGGTTGGTTGGTTGATTTGTGCCTACATATATGTCTAGTCTTGACTGCTTTGTCAGTCCTGGCCCAATTATTTTGTGTTACAGAGTCAAGGGGTGATCATGAGAGACCATAGGATTTACAAAGTCAAGTTGAATGAAAGTCAGTTTTGTTCAACACAATTAATGAAATTATTGACATTGCAGATGATCTGAAACAATCAAGACAGTGATACAGTAAACTCATCTGTATCCTTCTTTCATTACTGGTAACTTCCACTTTCTGTTCTGCAGAAAACTATTGATAGGAAGAGACTAAATGCAATAAGTGGTGGTCTCAAATAAAGTAGACTATCATAGTACTTAGTACATGATATTGTACATGTACATGTATGTAACAGGAGGGAATCCCCTGTTGTTGTAGGTACCCAGGAACCACCTTCATGGACCATCTCATCCGCTACAACAGTGAGCCTGATGTCAAGATGCTGGTGTTGCTGGGAGAGGTAAGACAATTTCTCCATCTTGAAGAAAATTGGCATTGATGAATATTTTTCATAAAGATTGACTTTTTAGTGTAAATACTTATAAATATTAAGCATTCAAGAGTACACAAAACATCTATGTGTAGAGTATGCACATTTCCAGGTGGCAGTACAGGAGACTACAAATGCTATAACTTGATGTACTTCTTTACAAACGCTGCAGCACTGTTGCCTTTTGTTGTAATTCCTTTAACTATTCTCAAATGTGATGTAACAAGAAAACAAACATTAAGTGATTGGACTGGTGTTTCAGGTTGGAGGAACAGAGGAGTACAAGATCTGTGAAGCCCTGAAGGACGGCACCATCACCAAACCCATCGTGGCCTGGTGCATCGGAACATGTGCCAGCATGTTCACCTCAGAGGTAGGGTTCACTTCTTCTGGATCACAAGGTTACTGGTTCGAATCCCATGATTGATCATGATGTTAATTCTGGCATAATCATTACCACCTGAGCGAAGTGAGAAAAGTTGTGTAAAGGGCACAAGATCGGTGACATGGCAGGATTCGAACCTAGGATCCCTTGGTTCTGAGTCAAATGCTCTGCCGTTATGCCACACGACCCCTTACTTAGTAACTTATTGTGGCCTGTTGCATCCAAAAATTGTACATTGTTGGAGTAAAACACTGTAAGTTCATTTATGTTTGCGATACCTTTTTTTTTTTGCGAGATGAAACAATTCAGGAGTTTGTGAGGTCTGATTTCGTGAGTCAGTAATTTTTTCCAAATGAATGTGCTACTATGTGCCAATATGCCAATAGACTGATATGTGACATTGAACATGTGTGTGATGTCTTTAACAGGTCCAGTTTGGCCATGCCGGCTCCAGCGCCCACAGTGACATGGAGACTGCACTGGCAAAGAACAAGGCCCTGGCCAGCGCGGGGGCGTACGTTCCAACCAGCTTTGACGAGCTCGGAGAGAAAATCCAGGAGGTGTACGAATTCCTGCGGGATGAGGGCATCATTGTGGAACAGCCCGAAGTCCCCCCTCCAACTGTGCCAATGGACTATTCCTGGGCTAGGGTATGTATCTACTAGAGCTTTACTGTTTTCATGAATATGTGTCCAAGAAACAAGGGCTTGTGGTATTGTTCCTGTGATATCAGTGGAATTTTGATGTCGCAATGTACCTGTGTTACATCATGTTTTGTTTATTCTTAATAGTCCAGTTCACTACTTTTTTAGCCCAACACCCAACAAATTATGTTTGGTATATGGCCATAACAAGTTACATCTGTAGCAATTTTTTCTTATCTGTAGAAATTTGGAAGCTTGGTGTGTGAGCCAATATCCTTCATGACATTTATCTATAATGATAGTCCAGTTCAGCCTTGTTATTTCTTAAGTTAAGAACCAACAAATTAAACTAGTATGGACTAACACTTCATGTCACATCAGGAGCTTGGACTGATCCGTAAGCCGGCATCCTTCATGACGTCCATCTGTGACGAGAGAGGCCAGGAGCTGCTGTATGCAGGCATGCCCATCTCTGATGTGTTTAAGGAGGACATGGGCATCGGAGGGGTGCTGTCACTTCTGTGGTTCCAGAGGAGGTATGGAACTACCATGTCTTTAAGCTTCACCCTGCTAAGATAGTATTTAGGCGCTGAAGTTGTGTTAAATGTAGTATTGGATGAGAATGAGCTTTTACAATCATTGGTGGAATTTCTAATGTTTACTAAGGCCACACTGATTTAATCTTAATATGGATGAAATCTGCGCGTGGACACTGATTTTCGCCTGTTCTAAAAAAAAATCACATCCTCCAAGGCTCTAGCCTGGGTGCCATCCTCTGTAGTCCATGGTATGTGCCGGCTTATCGTAAAAGTCTTTGTGTACTACCTTCAATTCACAATACCAGCTTTGTGTTCCTCTGGTTTAGCAGCATTTTTTTGGATGGTTTGGGGTTCTCCAGAGGATGTTATCCATAAAATTAAGTCAGTGTGGCCTAATAGGCATTTGTTAGATATTGTCCAGGTAAATCAGTACACAAGCTACATGTTTATGTAACATGATGTAAACTATCTTCCCCCTCAGACTGCCAGCGTATGCCTGTAAGTTTATAGAGATGTGCCTGATGGTGACAGCTGACCATGGCCCGGCTGTGTCAGGGGCACACAACACCATCGTGTGTGCTCGGGCCGGCAAGGACCTCATCTCATCACTGTCCTCAGGACTGCTCACTATCGGAGACAGGTAATCATGGATAGGATTTGTTACACATATCTATATTTACCTATGCTCTAGGGAAAGCATATTGTTTTAGCCTGGGTGTCGTCCGATTTGTAACGGCAACCCCCACAATTTTTTTCAGGGTTGCCAGTAGATACCATATGGCACCCAAGCTAATATTGTTTTGCTCTGTTTCTTTTTCTTCTCTTCCAAACAAATAAGGTCAATGACTTGTCTAGGTGGCTGTCACCACCATGGTAACTGGTGCTGTTTATGTAGCAGACACCCAATGGTGTTGGATTACATTATGTAGCAGATATAGCAGGACAGAGTTGGAGGGGCTGGTCACCATACAGATAATTAAGGATGAGAACTCAAATAATACACGCTTTTAAGATAAGATAAGAGTTAAACTCATGCTTTGTTGCTGTTTTTGTTGCTACTATTGCACAGTAAGAAACTGTATATCATTATGGAATTAAAAACTTTAAAATTATGTAATAATGGTGACTTAATGTTCCTTGTTGACCAGGTTTGGAGGTGCCCTGGACGCTGCAGCCAAACAGTTCAGCGAAGGATTTGACAGCGGCATGATCCCCATGGACTTCGTCAACCACATGAGGAAGAAGGGAAAACTCATTATGGGCATCGGACACAGGGTCAAGTCGGTAAGGGGAGTTTCATAAAGCTTTCTGAAGGATGAGGGGGAGGCAAATTTTATTCCATACATTCAGTAGACAACATAATAAACTTATTGACAGTCTTTCTTACCTTATTTTTCTGTCCTTTTTTGGCTTTATTTGTGACATTCTTTTTTCCCATTTCTGATTTCTCCTTCTTTCTTTCCCTCTTTGCCTCCCCCTCTGTTCCCTGCTACATGTAGGTTGTGAGTGGAATAAAATTGTCATCCCTCCTCCCTTTGTTTTCCATTCATTCACTCACTCACTTCTTCACTCACTCGCTCACTCACTCACACACTCACTCTCTCACTCACTCACTCACACTCACTCACTCACTCACTCACTCACTCACTCACTCACTCACTCACTCACTCACTCACTCACTCATTCATGCTGTTGCATGACCTGAATGACACGATTTTTGTGTTTCATTAACTTGCATTGTTCTTGTAAATGCATGACTGTATGGTATATGCACAAGTAACACATGCTGATTTCGGTGTTGAGTGCTTATATACATGTAGAAGCCTAAAAAATGAGGATGGTGATACTTAAAACTATTTGTAACTAACTTTCTGTAACTAACTCTACTTCAGTATTGGTGTGTGATATAGAGTATACAGCCATGGATGTTTGCAATCATATGTGTTCATTAACAACCAAAACATGGCACTGGCTATTCTGGCCATGTTGGCAATGACTGTGTATTGCCCTTGTTGAGTACAACAGTAAATGTGGAGTGTATATTTTGTAGAGAGTGTGATGTCTCCCCTGTTGAGCACCAGAGTGTGTATTTTCAGATAAACAATCCAGACATGAGAGTTGTGATCCTGAAGGACTATGTCAAACAGAACTTCCCAGCTACACCCCTGCTGGACTATGCACTAGAGGTGGAGAAAATAACAACATCAAAGGTACCAGGACGTGTATTATCTAAACTCATAACACATGAGCTTGATTTTCAAGGATGGCATCCAATAGATCTAATTTTTTGCTGTCAAATAGAACCTGGGTTCTATAGATAATTCTTAGTTAGTTTCTGGTGAGTTTCTGTTTCAACATATTATAAAAATTCAGTCTTTTAACCTAGTCTTTATGTAAGTGAGCTTTTATGTTTATGTAGAACAGTTTCAGCACCAAGGACAGGACTTGTGTTAAAGTTTGATGTACAAAATCTGAAATATATGCCTCCTGTAGTTTCATGTCACAATTTCATGTCAAATACATTATTTACTGGTACATTTCAGATTCAGATAGAACCATTTCAGCACCAAGGACAGAACTTGTAATACACTTAACCTTCTCCCTGCTGCCTGACCCCATAACCAGTACAAGTTTGCCTACTTTATCAAGGCTAAACTGGATTTCTCTTTTCTGATTTCCAGAAACCCAACCTGATCCTGAATGTTGATGGGTTCATTGGTGTGGCCATGGTGGATCTGTTCAGGAATTGTGGGGCTTTCACGAGGTGAGCTTTCTAGAAAAAGCCTAAGACTGGTACTTAAAACATAAATGGAATCCAATTTATAGCTACAATGTACACACAATGTACATGTATTTTTCCCCCACCCCATGCTACTCAAAGACATGTTACAATTGGCCAGATGGAAAGGTCCTTCAATGGACCCTGAAGTAGTTTATTTCCTTCCCTACAAGACAGTTATGTAGCCTTGATTTTTTTTGTGTGTTTGTCCACAGGGAAGAAGCCAATGAGTATGTGGACATCGGAGCTCTGAATGGGATATTTGTCCTCGGTAGGAGTATGGGCTTCATTGGTGAGTATGAGAAATATGTCTTCCAAATCATCTAGTATGACTATATAGATTTTGTAGATTCTCTTGAACAAGAGTTATTGGTTATTTTGTTTACTGTTCTTGGTGTTTATGTCTATCTGTACAAGGCACGCCTGTAAAGCAGTATATTGTACTGAGTGCACCTACCCTGTATAAAGAAAACAGAAATAAATAAATAAATAGAAACAAAGTAGAGTTTATGCTGTTTTAAATTTGACTATCTACAAGTATGCATTTCTTTATGAAAGTCATGTACATTTGGGCTGTGACACCACAAATTAATGAGTACAATATTAGTGTCTGTAATGTCTTAATGTGTAAGTCACCTTAATGTGTTACTTTCTTATACTTCCAGGTCACTTCTTGGACCAGAAGCGAATGAAGCAGGGTCTGTACCGTCATCCCTGGGACGACATCTCCTACGTTCTCCCAGAAAACCTCAACATGTGAAGTTTTTGTAATATTTGACAGGTTTCTTTACGTTTACTTTTGTTAAAGAAAAATGACAGTGATAGAAATATTGCTCTTATCGATATATCATGCACACTTTTCTGATTCTCTCTCTTGCCATGTCCTCCATTCTAGGAGCCTTTTGTCAAACTCCCTTTATACAATGCTATAGCATGACTTTGAGCAAGACACAAAGCCAAATCTTTACAAAGGTGATATAGCAAGAGGCAAAATAGAAAAAGTGGACATTCCAGATTTAAACTTTCCCACCTATTTTGGAAAGTAAAATTGATGAATTGTGTTTAAAATGATGTTTAAAACTGTTACAGTATGCCTTGCTGGTGGCTCTTGGCATAGTATCTAAAGCAAGAAGGAGAATTTTAAGGTATCTGAGGTACTGAAAAAGACAGTCTTGGGCACATACATGTACATGTCTGTACTGAGACAGGGCTAAAACTATGTCAGTTAAAGCCAGATAGATACAGATAATTTACTGTTTGATACAGACTCTCCCTTGATTGTTTTGTATTGTCTTTAATTGGTGGTTGTACCATTAATTCTAATCCAAGAGGCTCAGCTCAAAAAATTACTATTCTTTAAGAGCAGTTAAGTTATATATTATACAGATGTTAATCAAATGTAGGGTACAGCAGATGTATAGACATTAGATGTCAAGTATTATGGCAACAGAAGGGTAGAGTACCATTTCTTTGTTTAACTTAGGCTTATTATCATTACTATAAGCAGTTTTGTTTTCAGTAACATACAAAAGCTATGAGGGTTTGTTAACAAATTAGATTACTTTGCTTATGTCTTCACTTTATTTGCATATCAATCAATAGGTTGTGCTTATAAACCTGCATTTTTCCTCTGGTCTCTCAGTCACTGACGAAAGCTAGTGGATACTAGCTGAAACGTCTGACGTTTTCAAAATCATATCCAGTTGCTTGAGTAACTGCTTTTTGGCGTACTTTGCTTTTGTTTAAATATGTATTGAGCTGTTTTTGGTCACATGTAATTTAGCAGGCACTCTGTACTTATAACTTTCAGTCAATTGACTATCCCTCCGTATGATACAAGCATAAGGATGTCAAGTCGGACAGTCACTAGAAATAACACTACAATGAGGGCTTTCAGACTTCACAGCAAAGTGTGACGAGGAAAGAGCAGAGAAATTTCCTGCAACTGTGGTGACCATGGCTGCTTTGCTGGTCATCGTAACTTTCAGTGTGCTTGACGAACCACAATTACAGACTATGTAAGCAACATAGTTTAAGATACATTGTAGAGTAGTGCTTGAAATCAGAATTCTCTTTTAGATAATTATTAATCTTAATCTTCTGGAATTCTTTGTCAGAGAACTTTGACCGTAGAGAAAGAATCTCCACAATGTGGAAAACATGGAGAGCTAATAGACTACATGTAATTGTTAATATTTTCTTTAAGAAAACACCAGAGATCTAGATGGCATATCACATTTCGTTCCTGTGAATACCAAAACTCTCAGTATATATATTATGTAACATTAGAGAGCTATACACTGTCAGACAAAAGCTACTATTTACATTAAAAGAAAGTTTAAGTTGAAGGACCAAACTCTAACGAATAGTGTTACTGGAGACTTGTAGTGAAGGAGTGGCAAATCGATTATTGAGAATAAAGTATGTGATATTGCAGGGAAAAACAAGACTGCTGTTATTTTTACAACTACATTTAGTGTGAACAGATATTATTCCATGTTACAGGTCCTGGAATAATATCTACATGGTATAAGATCTTGCAATTATTTATACATCTTTGGGTGGGAAATATTGTTTAAGGTTCATTACCATGTATTTATATTCATTATTATTTACAACAATTACTGTAACAGTAGATATTATTACTAGTACTACATTGTCATGTATTGAGTCATAGTACAGGACAATTTTATATTAATTACATGTAATGCTTGCCGTACTGTCTACCATGTGCATCATCATCATTAGCATGATTATTATCTCTTTCTTAAGGTGGAGGTTCATCCTTTGGTACATTTTTTAGCATTTACATTAAGACTTTTAAGTTTTCTTTTGACTCCTTTGCCATCTAACCTTACTTCTGTAGAGTAGCAGAGCTGCGTATCTGCACCTTGCCTTTCCTGTCTGCTGTAGTTGCTGGGGAGTTGTTGGTCACAGTCTCGTCCGAATCCTTGTACTTCATGGACCTCCAGTGCTTGTCATCATCATCAGAAAGTCGGATTACCTGAGCAAGTAAACAACAATAATCATGTCAACGATGAATGGTTTATGATGAATGGTTTATTAAAATGCAAATCGCAGCCCGGGGGCTGAATTGCGGATTTGTTACAAACACTTTCAGAGCTCGTATTAAGATAAAACATAGGGTCACTTATTATATATAAGTATAACAAATAACATTGGTGTATAATAAAATCATGTCAACAACCAATCCATAGAATTAAAAACCTAAAATATATAACCTGAAATATGTTCAGATCATTGTTCAGAACATTTGATATTCACTGCAGCTAATTTAAAAATAGATTAATAACTTCTATAAAATTAATGCATTCTACAGTTTTACAACAGTAACAGCTACATTCAAAATTTGTGTTAGAATTACCGAGGAAAGAGGCAATTTTCCTCTATCATTGTGAAAACCCACCTTCAGGAACAGCTTGTCAATGACTGTCTCCAGTTTGTCAGTTGCTATAGGAGGGAGGTCATCTGTGTCCTCAACCTCATCTACAACAAACATGGGGTGGATAGAATAAAAGGGAAGATCAAAATAACACTACACCATTATAGCCTAATGAATATAGGTTACTCACTTGGGCAGTCTTACAAACTTTTGTTATCCTTTGCACCACTAGTATTAGTTTTCCTGATGAAAATAAGGAATATAAACTTGAAAAACAGGCACATTTTTAATGACTACTAATGATGTTCTCTCCTTGAAGCTTTTCTAGGGTTATAAAAACAATCTAGGAAAAACTATTCCTACCAAAATCATCCAACATATCTGTCATTAATAACTTGGGACTTTATCACTATTATCACTGGTTCACTAACACCAATTAAAGGGAACAAACTATTAATAATTAATTTCAATACCTTCGATTTTCTTCCTGCCGCGTACCCCGACCATGCTACTGAGGGTGTTCCACAGCAGGTCCACCAGTTCCACATCATACCCCTGTCCATGCTCTCCGATAGAGTCACACACGATCGACATCAGGAAGTTCATCAACAAGAAGTAGATGCTGAAATATAACAAGAGAATCGACATTCAATATTATAATATAGACATCAGAAAGTTCATCTACAAGTAAATGCTGAAATATACCAAGATGTTTGACATTGACGCCTTCAAACAAACTACTTTCATCAATAGAGTCGCATACAATGCACATCAGAAAGTTTATCAACAGTAAATGAAAGCTGAAATATACTAAAGACAATTGACACTCAAAGACCGTAGTTTCATTGATAGAGTCGCATGCAATGGTAGGGAGAGCTTGTCAAAAGTAAGCACTGTCTGCCTTCGGGCTGCCAACAAAATCTTTCATCAGGAGGTTGGCCCTTTTCTTGTTTCAGAAGACCCTGGTGTAACAACAATTCAGCCCACTAAACAGCTCCCCCCCAGTGCCTAAGTTTTAATAATGCCTAAGAATATTCTTAGGCGACAGAATATTAAAAAATGTTGAAGGTGGTCGCCTTAACTGAAAGAAGAAGAAGAAGGTTATACTGCACCATTAAATGATAGCTATACTAAAATAAGAAGAGGTCTACCTGAACATGAAGGACAGCATGAAGACTGGTCCAGTGATGGTGAAGATATCAGTCACTTCCTGGATGTCCACCTTGCCAAGCATCATCACAAATGTTGTCTGCAGTGTCTTGTCTAAGCTGCAATAATCTGATTGCAAAGAAAGTAAAAACAACATTTATAAGGCTTTGCACAATTTCAGTTGCAGTGCAGTCTACTGTTCCTTATACTTGTCAGAAAGATCTAGGGGGATTTTCCCATACAATGAAGCTGTAAATACTGTATAGCATCTATCTTTTCTATCACCACCAGTGCGAGATTAGCTCAACTGTTCATGGAGTTCATTGCAGCTAAACTGGTTTGAGATTAATTTCTTTCACTATTGATTTACCAGTTGACCAGTACCACTAGCCGACTGCTGCCAACCCCTGGGGCAGGGACAACAGCAGCAGTATAATCAAATCCTGGATAGTGAGTGGATATTGAGTGTGATTTAACTAGCTATGTTTAGTTTAGAGCACTACCCTTGAGCCAGGTGAGGAACCTTACGTTTCAGTTCCACGTGGAACAGGATGTAGGCAGCCTGGCAGAAGGCGAGGAAAGCCACCATGAACATGACGATGAAGGAAAGGAGATCCTTGGACATTGCGTTGATGGTCGCCTACAAAATGGAAAATAAGTTAAAATTCCACATTTATAACTATTCCATATTCTGATACTGGTAGAAAAATCTAATCCTCACAAGGAAAGTTTACAAAAATTGGGAAATAAAAAAAATGTACCTCCCTGAAAAATTTAATGAGGTTGAAAAAATAAAAGATTTCAACTTAAAGGTTCATTTTATACATCAAATCACAATTATCGCCAATATTAGCTAATATTTCATTAGTTTTTCTGCTACCTTCCTCAGGGCAATACCATAATACTTAACAACTGCAGTTGCTAGCTGGCTGCTAGATGGCACTATTGTTTTTAGTTGTGTACAAAGAATTAAATTGTCATCTGATGGTTCTGATTATTACCTGGAGAATTGCAACATGACGGCTGAAGACCAAGATACGCATGAACTTCATGATATTGATGAACACCAAGATGGCGGATATCTGAGTGTAGATGGCATCCCAGAAGGCAATGCGTTGGAAGTTCACAAATATTTCAATTCCCCATCGGCCTAGGGCATGACAGAAAAGAATTTGACATTTTGAAATCTAGCTCAGTGAAAATTGATGATAGAATCCCGTAGAAATGCTTGTCTTAACATAAAAACTCTCAAAACATTATAGTGAGTACATTTTCACGTAAGAAAGATTTTAGAACAAAACAGCTTAAAAGTTTTCACTTTCGTGAAAAAATCATTTAGTGACTGAGTTTCATATCTAGGCTTCCCACAACTATCCAGGCAAGTCTGAAGATATTTTTCATCTATTTTTCATCTATATAAAATGTTTAAGTTCTTTTTCAAAAATGACTGAAAGCTACAATATATACTGGTATTACCTTTAGACTCCAGCAGTGTTTGAATAGCCATGTTAGCCATGAGAAACTTGACCACAAACAGAGCGATGGCTATCAGGGACAGGAGGATGCTGACAAACTCTATGCTGTTCCAGAAGGACTTGAAGTATTTCAGTCTCTCCTTCTTGATTTTCTTGTACTCATGGACGATGAAGTAGAGCAGGAACAGAACGAAGATGATCTGTGCAGCGAGAACGATATAGCCGCTGCTTCCCACATAGTCAAACAGTCTGTGGATGCAAAGGTACATATGATGTGACTTATGACATATTTATGTTTACTGGAAAACATATT